TTTTTTTAGCTTTCTATCACTTTTATCAATTTTTTTGGGAACATGTTTGTTAACGTTGATTTGATTGCAGTGTGGAAAGCCAACACCACCTCAGTGTAAAGATGACTGCACCAACAAGATATGGTTTCATGTCACCAACTCCACTACTGGTATTGGCACTTGCCAGCAATGCCTAGACTGTCCACCAGGCTATCAGCTTGACCGTGTAAGGAGAAATATTATCAAGGCATCCATAGTTAATTCCAGGATTTTCTGCCTCTTTTTTTTATGCTTTTTGTGTGAGAGAGGGTTGGTCGGGGACAAACTTTTAAACAGAAAAAAAAAATTATTTGGTTTCTAATGGGAAAAATCTAGACGCCAGCACTTTTACGGAAGTTAAGTAATCATGTGCACTGAATATCAATGAATGTACGTACACAAATGTAGTATAAATACCCTTTGTTTATATCGTCCCTTCATGCCGTAGAATCATGACCCAGCCTGATACACTTACATGTACCACACAATGTGCATATGTTGTATGTTTCTCACACACGAGCGCTGATGAGGTCAATCCATGAAATCAAGTTTCTGGCCAAGGGGTTTCAGGCATGGACATTGTGACATCCATAGTTTCAGTGTGTCGTGGGACATCTTGCTGTGTGAATCACAGTGACACTCCAAATCACAGTGACACCGTTTAATTCCAGAATGAACACCGTTTCAGGCTTCATGTATGCTGCAGCAAAAAATGGAGCCTAAGCCGTGGTTTATAAAATGCCCTGGTGTCCATAAACAGTGCATCAACAGTCTATGTTTAGATACAGAACCAATCAACACTGGCTCGTACCCCATGCCGATGGTGCATGTGATCATGTTACATGTACAGTATTGTACATGAACAGCACACATGGTTCGGTTTAAATTCACGATGCGACTTGCGCTGCCATTTCTACTTTTCCAGAACTAATTTGGAGTACACAATCATTGCTTTTTTGATTTTTAAGCTTACTCAAAATTGTTCAAGTACATCTTGTATGTAGTTTTCCAGCGATCTTAAGTCGCAGATGGCAACTGTATGGTGAAAATGATGATCGCATTGGCAAAATTTGGTCACATTTGCAACTGATTTAGGCGCTATTTAAAGCATTGGTCCAGGAAAACAGTGGTTAAAAAATTACTTGTGTTTTTTCCAGATGTTTCAAGATTTTCATTTTTTTTCTGGGTGAGAAATTCCAGACAGGATCAGCAACATAAGAAAGGTTTTTGTTGTTTTCCCCGCGGTTACAGCCGACGTAGGAGTTGGTTGGAAATGAAAACCAGAGAATTAACTACAGATGCCCTTGTAAAGCTGCTGGCTAATCTCAATCCAAGGAAAAGTAAAGACTCGACAGTTATTAATTGTTGGACTAACCTTTCTCCCAGGCATGTGGTGGTGAGGAAGGATTGGAGGCTATCTGCGTACCAGTCTGCTTTCCAGGGGAATTCTTTGACATGGACCAGTCTCGCTGCATCCCCTGCCGACATTGTGATAATACCATCGGAGATATCGCATGCAGTGCTACGAGTGATGGCAAATGTGGTCCCTGCAGACAAGGGTAATTCAGATCAGAGAATCTTCGGCCCTGTTTGCTCTATTTTTTTTTGCTCTATTTTTTTTTTTTCAAGGTCAAGTCTAGTGCAGACAGCTTGGGACGGTTTCCTCTCGGTGTCTTTTCCTTAGTCCAGCAATTACTACTAGCTGCCAAGTGCTGCCCAGCAAACCTGACCAGATCACTTTTCTTGAGACAATAAGTCCACTGCAAACAAGTCATCCGTCGGTAAAAGTTGTTCTGCTTGACTCGCATCCGGCCTAAGCATAAGGGAATGCTGCACACAGTGAAATCACCTATGCATGATGCATGCATCAAGGTGTGGTGCATGATATGGCAAGCATTCCAGTGTGTTGTTCCTCTTTTGGTCACAGTCATGGCAGGTATTATTTTTGATACAATCAGCCAATTGATTGATGAAGCAAGGAGATAGAGAGGATACCGTTCAATTACAAACTAATCTGTTCAACCTGAAAAAAATCTGTTCAAGTAGAAATTGATTTCCTTTCTTTGTGTCTTGATTGGTTTCCACCTTACCTTCTTTAAGTATTGTGAATGTCATATCTCTTGGTACTTGTTCCAATGGCAGGTACTTTCATGAGCAAGGTAAACCAGATCTCTGCCACCACTGCTCATTGCTGACAGAGACGGAACAGGACTCAAAACCGCAGTGCCAAACCTCCAGAATCTCAACAGAGCCACCTTTAACTGTAACTACCTCAGAAAGCCCATCTGCACGTCATGAGGACACCCCAGCAATGGTTAGGACTACTGCTGTGTCAACAACAACTCCTGACAGCCATGGGACAGGACATATGATGGCATCATCCAACAGAGCGGGTCAAACATCACTGCCAGATAGCACTACCAGCAGCAACATCGAGTTGCCTAATGATAACATCTTTCAAAATGAACCTTCTGCCGAGGAGACAGATGGCAAAGGTTGGCCATGTTTTGCATTTTTGATTTATTTGTGAGTCTTTAGGACTGACCTGTGAAATATGTGAGGAAATGAATTATGTATACACATGTTTTTATTTGAAAATGAAACCTTGTCTGTTCCTATTAGATGCGGCTACCCGTGTTACTTGAAGCAATTTGTTTAGTATTGTTTTGCATTTGGCACATGTGGACTACTGCCTTTGCTGTTTGCCCTGAACCATGACCTCTGTAAAATTCCAAACACAGTACTTGATTTTTACTTGGAAATGAACGGAAGTTAAATGATATGGACCAAACGATGGCCTTTCTGTAATACTAAAGAAAATCAGCCACAAAAAATTGTTATATGTATATTTCATGTTGGCTAAGAAAGCCTGAAAATGCACAGCCAGCAGTCACAAAAGTCATGTTGTAGCAGGGACTTTGATGTGTATCACCCCCTTTCCATTATCACTGAGAAAACTTCAGATTTTCACTGATTCAGGATGGGAGATATGAAAAAGATCTGATGGCAAGCTATTTCTCTATTGTATTCATAATTTAGAAGCTAGTCAGGATGGTCCGTTTTCACCACAGTCATCAAGTGTTCTGGTTGTCTGTCTCCTGACTCTCTTCCTGCTTGTTCTCCTGATCGGGGGATTTGGTTGGGTCACCGTTAAACGTTCACGTAGAGTGGCACAGAGACAACAAGAGCAGCGACGATCATTCAGACAATTTGTGCAAAGGAACTGGATAGATGATGGCAGCCAGCATGACCCAGACAGTGAGGATGAAAAAGGTAAATGCTGGGGTCGTATATGCTCTCGTTCAGCTACAAACACAATTCAGTCAGGTTGGAAAGGCCATGTACACCTCCCCTTCAAGCCACGGTTCAATTCCTGTTGAGGTCAGTCAGCTTGGTGTTTGACAGGGGAAAATATCCTACACTGTGCTCTGCTTAGAGTTTTCCAAATACAAAACCAGGTGTTCCACTGAACATTCCCCTGACACTCTCAAAAAGGTAGAAATCATTGTTTGGTTTTGTATGGAGTGACTGTCACCAAATAGTGGCTACATAAAATAGTTATCACAGTTGTTACAATCATTGTTAGGGGGAAGCATTTCATATGGCCAGTTTCACCATGGTTACTACAGACTCCAGGAACAGATGTTTGGTTATAGCATTTCTTGCATTGTTTGAGTTGTGCTTGCAGTATATTTGCCTGTGCTGTTTAGCCAGTTGTTTTTATTGGTTCAACAAATGCTTCAATTAATAAGTGCTTTCTGTTCTTATATGTAGTTTTCGTGGATTGTGAGAACGGGACCGCGCAATATTGGGATCTGGCTCCTAGGTCAGTTCCAATATTTTCTATGAGTTAATCTAATTCTTTTGTCTACATAAGGTGTTGGCATTGATTGACCCTTATATAATGCATTGTCACTGTGATACATTTTAATCACTGTCTTTATTTATCGTTTTAGGTGTCCAGTGAGTTCAAGTCTGCTGAATGGTGGACTAGAAGCTTCTAGCTTTTCCTCTGTTTCTTCTGTGTTTGCAGCTCAGAGGAACAACTCTGATCTAACAGACCAGACATCTGGTCGTTCACTGAATTATTCACTGTTGGAGGAACAGATCCAAACAATGTACCGTCTTGAGTCTTGCGATTGGAAATGTCACGATGAAGATGACATGGTTTACATTAAACCTATACAAGACACGGAGAAATCCATGCCACTTAGATCTTATGAAAGGCCTCTGAAAGTTTTGAATCATGAAGAGAATGGTGCTTCAGAGGCTACCCATCTTCTGGCAGGTGATAGTGACGGGGTAACAGACCCAAACGCCCCAGCAAGTCTACAATCCTTTGATGGAACTCATTCTCTCTTGAGTATCACAAAGAGATCCAAAGATCAGAAAGGCAAAAAGTCAAGAGGTTTACAGGCAAAAGAAGGGTCTGCTGGAGGCCGCTTATCTAAGGCTTTTGTCAATGCTGGTGTTCAGTGCCATGATACAGCATTCAAAGCTGGGAAAGATGAGGTCTGCAACGGGAATAGTGAAAGAAATGATGAAGAAGATGGAATGACTGCAGTCCAAGAAGCTGGAGATGGCGTAAGTCAAGCAGTCCAGACTGGACAACAGCAGGTTAAAATTTCAACAGCAGATTTCAAGACAAATGGAAATGGCACAAGAATGGCAGCAGAACAAGAGGCCACAGTCTGCAAAGTCCAAGCCGTCCAGACTGACTTTCAGCAGGCGTCTGCAGCAATTGCCAAGAGAAGCGAAGATGCAGCAGAACAAGAGGCCACAGTCTGCAAAGTCCAAGCCGTCCAGACTGACTTTCAGCAGGCGTCTGCAGCAATTGCTGAGAGAAGCAAAGATGCTACAGGAATGGCAACAGAACTAGAAGCTACAGTCTGCAAGCCACAAGAAGTCCAGACTGACCTCCAGCAAGCTGTAGATGGGAAGAGAAATGGCGAAAAACATCAAAGCAAAGAAGCTACACCTAGGACCAGTGTGACTGCTGCTGTCGTTGGACTAGAGCAAGAGGCCACAATCTGCAAACCAGAAGCGACCCAGACAGAGGCACATGAAGGTGTTTCCGACATCACTGCTTCAGGAGCAGGGCAAGTCAAGGAAGATTCCAACGGATTTGGAAATCCAGTCGAGCCAGAAGCCACTGCATTCAAAGGACTAGAGACCCAAGCAGAACCTGATGGAAGCATTCCCCCACCTGTATCTACTACAATCTCAAGCACTGATGACAAAGCTAGAAGTGCAGGCTCTCCCCATACAAAACAAAAGCCATCTAAGAAGGGGAAATTTATCAAACCTGCACCTCCTTCCATCAATGTAAACTGTGAAGGGAGTAAAAACCAAATAAGTGTAAACTACAGTGTCCATTACCATCAGAATGACAGCTACAGCCCCAGTGAGACAGGTAATTCATTGTCGTAAAAAGAGTTGCTCCTCCAGAAATCGAAACCTTGCATTCATTCAGCAGAATTTCTGCTAACGGAGTTTTTTAATAGTATGACTGTCAGATTTGGAGTTATTCAGGTCTTCCTACCTCTATTTGCCTTTTGGTTTTGTCAATTGGAAATAGCCCAGGAATAAATTTCTATAAGATTACTCTTGAGAGCTGAATATGAATGTTTTTTCCCGTAGAAGTGGTTCTGTTTCATTTGCATTTTCATAAGGGCTTCTCTTCTGTAGTTGAAGTGGTGAGTTAAAATGATGTCATAAAGCAGCTACTGGGTAACTCTGCTGTTTCATAATTCCTCTAATCAATGAGACACTATTTCGTTTGTTCATTTTCAGAGACTGACAGTGAGTAGAATATTTAGCTTGTCTGCCCCTTCGCTGTGAACCATCGGGGACCAGACCTTGCGGAGTTTGACCAGGAGGTATCAAGACTTTTGCCACAAGAGTCAGACCATGGTGCCTGATAAGTACATGTAAATCACTTTTCTATCTTCCTTTTGTATTTTTTCTTTGAAAATGTAGTATTTACTAAACAAACTAATCCTGTGAATTTTACAGCAGCACACTGTATTTATGGTTGTGTGGCTTCAGAATGTGGCCTTCAGACTGATAATTGTACTTTGTGGTAAAACACCCATTTTTTTCTGTGATACTCCATGCCCTCTTTGGGGGAGTGGCCCAAGGACAGATCCAGATGGGTGCCACTGGGGGCCATGTCCACCCCCAGGAGCCACAAATTTTAATGTTTTGTAATGAGGGAGACAGGAATTTCTGCTCATTTCCCTCTTTCTAAAGCATGTTAAAAAACAGAGCCCTGAAATGTAGTCTCTAACCTCCCAGAGGCCATAAAAGGTTACCTGAAAAATTTCCAAAATATTTTGGCCGTGGATCCCCTTTGGCGTGATCCTACTTCTTTCTTGCCATCAAAGTAATCTATGCAAAAGTATGAATATACCTGAAATAAAGAAAACTAGACCTAAAGAGAACCACCCATCTTCAAACCAGGCTGAAATCACAGGTTAAGGTATCCTCTCAAGCAATACAAGAGGAATCATTGTAAACCAGCAGTTCAGACATGACTTGGTCAATACAGGCGATTCACAATAGTGTGCCTCCAAGAGTTTGGAACGCGTAGGTCAATCCTGGCGCACAAATCTGCATCTAATGTGCATTTGGAAAGGGTTGATAGATTTCCTGCATTGTGATTGTGAATGTCCCGTATTGATCTGAGTGATGCTTTAGCTGGTCATGCTCATTATTCTTCAAGTCCTCTGAACTATTTAAATTGGTGTCAACTCTATTCTGCAGCATTATGCCCAATTGCCAAGCTTTCAGAGTGGCCCCCCCCAACAAAAGAAGTGTAACCAAAAGTAACATGTTTTTGTCAAAATCATTGTCAGAAATTTCTTGTTACTGATATCAAAATCAATGCTTAGAACGTTATCTTTGGGAGAAATTAATTGTTGCTTGGTGGTTGTATTTTTTGTTGTTTTCATTTTTTTTTTAAATAAAATGTAACAATAATAATAAAAAATATGCAGAGATCATAGTGATTAATTGATCATTTTGTGGCATCCCAGTTGCTAAAGCTATCAGTAAACTTAATTGCTTCTTGGATCAATTTCAAGCATCAAAGGAATCTTGCTGTTGGCACAGATTAGAAATTTAATGTATCGACTATTAAACCAAATACATGTAGTTTTTATGCAACTTACAATGCAATCTTTCAAAGAGGAGAGTTTTAAATTAACTTGTCTGAAAACGTTTAAGGAATTCTCATGTTATATTACTGTGTATTGTATGCAATAATTTGTTTCAGTTAAGAAATTGTTATTTGCCAGATAAATTGAAAGTATTCACTGGAAATAAACATATTCACATAGATATTCAAATATGTTTTCATATCCTTGAGGTAAACATCTTTTAATTCTGTGTTTTACTATCTCAAGTTAAGTTTAATGTAAACATGTGAAGGATATCTTGCTTTCTGATTCATTTTGTTGACTTAGAACTAGAAAATGCAACTTTTTATGTCTAAATTGTACTACTGACTTATTTTTCTACCAAATTCAAAATTATTTGTGACTTTTTATAAAAGACTAAGTCTTTCTTACTCAATATTCAGCCTTGAAACCTGCTTGTTGATTTTTTCCTTAACAAATTGTGCTGGGAATGAAATGAAGTTCAGGATTTTAATGACGGATATTTATTCTCAAAAATATATGCATATATTGAATTTCATTTATACTTTAGAAGTAGATTTACGTAAAATGTAGATCTCATACTTAAGACACTGTAATCTATTTTTAAGATAACTCTATCGCTTTAAAAGCACAATCAGATAATGAATGTACTTCAGGGGTAATATATATGATCTTTAACACAATAAATTTTTATCTTATCCATTGGTTAATTGCATTGTTTTGAGATATGTGCTTAAGGTTTGCTGTGAACTTGTGCTGTGAATAACTGGTGTATTATCATGTGAAACAAGCTTGTAATTTAGAATTTGTAGGGTAAGTGTAGTTTTTGTTGCCACTACATGCAGAGTAGTGTGTTTGGAGTATGTTTAAAGTGAGACGTGTGGATTATCTCTAATATTAGATGATACAATATCCAGCATCAAGTACATGTAGTGTTGTGTCACGTGATGCATCTTCACTGAGCTGTAGTTATTAGATATTGGGCAGTGTACATGTTATTTATTTTATACCCAGAATTTGTCATTTGGATGGCCATGTACTTTGTTTCGTGTGCTTGGTTCTATTGTATTCACGTGTGACCCAAGTAGATGCACTGTTGCTTACATTTTAGAAATTTAGAATTATTAAGCTGAACACAAGCAGTGGGGCAGTGTTCAAGAAATCTACATTAATGCTGAAAGCAATATGTCCGGCAAAGTTAAGTTATAATTTTTTCCTCTGCAGAACTTGTCACTTACATGGCTATGTACTTGCACTTTTTCAGTCGCTAACGTTCTCGAAAAGTTGTTAACAGACATAAAACTTACTTCAACTTGAATTGTATTCACTGACGATTGTTTGTTCATTACAAGCAAGGTTTCATCTGGGATTAAATTCTCCACCCCTACATGTACCATCCCAATCAAACGGAAAAAACTACCTATCCTCTCCCAGGAAAAGTTTTGAAACTGGCAACCCTGTGTGCTTTCTGAGGCCATATTGCCTCAGCATCCAGTAGTATGGAAGGAAATGTGAATTACTGGTTCATTGGTGTTCAAAATTTATATGGGAAATGGGGCTTGTAAATTTAGATCAAGCAAAATGTACTTGTCCACATTTGTTTTGCATATGTCCTAAGGACGTGAATAGATGACTAGATGAGATTCTTACAGGGTTTGGAATTGTACTCATTCGTAGTGTGGGCAGGTATGATTCACAGGAAGGGGGTTGGGATGGAACCCTCTTGCTTTTACACCCCAAAAGGAATGAATACATGAATGAAATTAAAAAAGATACACCCTCTAAGGGTAATTATTTGTACATCAATAACAATGTAATGCAGTACTTCATGTGTAAACCAGTCTGCAACATTCGGACATGAAATCTGAGGGTTTTGGGACCCCCCTAACAGAAATTCCTCAATCCGCCCCTGGTGGTACTTTGTGACCATTTTTTTGCATGAATATTTATTCATGTTCACTTTTAAACACTGCAGCTGTTACATTATTTTATGTAACATGTCATGTCATCCGATTCATAGGAATCAGAGTGCCGCTTCTCTAACTGGAGTGGACTGCAAATTTGCATTTGTACGGAGCTCTGGTAGTGTCATCTTACTTGCTTTTATCTCGGGATGACAACATATTACAGGCAGTATGGCGACATCATGAGATGTTTATCGCAGGATGACTTCTTCGATTGGAGATCAACATCCTGAGGTAATTTATCATGGGATGACGACATCACAAGATAATCATTATCTCGGGATGTCGTCATAGCAAACGTGATGTCTACTTCACTGCGTGTAACAAGCGGTGATCAGACATCATGATGTTTGATCAGTCCAGTTAATATCATGTTGGCTATAAGAAGACAATGCTTTAATCAAAAAACGAAAGCACCTCGGGCCACCTGTGCGTTTTCAGGGTGGTTTGTCAATGCACTCATTGACAAACAATTTCATAATTCCACTTTTAATAATGTTATCATCCATGATAAATGATCTGTTTCGGCAAGTTATTATCTTGTTTTGGCAAGTTATCTTGCTTCGGCAACTTACTGAAAGATATATATGCCTCCTTGCGAAACGCATCATAAAGGGAAAGTGACACCAGTGCAATAGGGCTTATAACAAGTTGTGTAGTGGCAATGCAACTGGCCTATTTTTGACGAAGTTAAGTTCCGATGTTATTTGTTTACACAAACATAAATATTCACTTGACATTTCTCTTGTTGAACCGGTAATGTGGGGTGGGTCAAGGCGCGGAAGCAATGCAGTCATGATGAGTAAATCTCGGGTAAATCACCAACAATGTTGAATTTATGTTTCACCCTTGATATTATCCGTTTATACTCGGGGGGGGGGAGGTGGCATCATAACTAAGCTTCGACTGGGGACCTTCCCAGGTTTTGATGTTCACTCGAGCGCAGAGTGCTTGGACGTGGTGTGATCAAAGACCAGTGGGGATGTTGATCACAAGTTTCAACAGAACTGCAAATTCAAACAAATACAAGGGTTTCTAAAAATGCAGTTGCTCTGAGCATTTGTCAGGTTCAAACTTGTCAAAGTGGAGAGAAATTTGTTGTCAGTTACTATTGACGAGTGTGTTATGCTCTGCAGTCATATGCTACCTTCATTGGAATCTATCCAAAAGTTACATTTCAGGTACTGGTATAAAGGAAATAACTAGAACGAACTCACCGCTTATGTAGCTGTCAAACTCGTAACATGCGGGCTGCCATCTTGGAACCCTTTTCTTTATTCAACATGTAGGCCTAGTTCATGTCGCTCACATAACACCAAACAGTTTACGTAATAAAGGTACAGTGATAGCCAATCATGTTCCGTTGGTGTTACGGTGTAATTCGACCACCAGAATTAGAAGCCCTTACTGCGGTGGTACAACGCTTGTAGACAGGTGGTACGCGCGCGTTACATGCCTCTTTGACCAATAGGGTGTCGTGATTTACTAAAATGCACTCGCGCGTCAAGCTGAAGAATGTGCGTCAGTGAGGGCGGTGCCACTGCAGTTATGTGACGTCTTATCGAGGGCCTGAAAGTAACAGGTCACGCAGCGAGCTTCTGAAACCCGCGTGCGGTCTGCCTATGGGGATTTTACATTGGGCCGTCCGATCACGTTCGATAATTTTTGGAAGAATAAACCACCCCATGAAACACTCATGTTGGAATTTTACCTTTGTCTTCCTCAAGTTATATTTAGGAAAAGTCACCTGGAGATGGGTGAAAAAAATATTAACAACCCTTTACGTTTGGCGATCTCGGTCTTCTTGTTCATGCGTGTTTTCACTCTCTGTGCTTTCGTGGAAACGAGATTGTGCAACGTTGCAAAGATTTACCCATAACTGCAGTCGATGGGTTCCAGATTCCGTTGAGTTGTTGTTAGCAAAGATTCGATAAATACTATTTCGTAAAAGCATTATAACTCATAAATGTATCTGAAATATATTGATCTGTTTTTATTTCGACTTTTACCGACAGATTACCATGAAGCTTCAAACCATATTCATCTGTGTATGAGACTGCTGTCTTGTATTTTAGATATTCGGAAGTGATGGGTCCATTTTGGCAGGATATTTCTCTGTTAGGTCAGGTGACTTTTCAGTTTCTATACATTGATATATTAGTTAATATTTTCTAAAGCCAATTTCCGAGTAGAATTTTAGAAGAAGTTACTGAACTAGAAATTATTACAAATTTTAAAATCTTTGTACATTATTTTTCCTATCCAATGGTTCCCGGAAGCGCGCCATTAGGGGTCAACTTTCAGGCTTTATAGGAAACAAAACGTGTATAAATTAGCTTCACGGTCTTTTAACCTCTAAGCGCAAACTGAAGAGTAATTGTCTCTCCGTGGATTATTCTTGAAATGAAATAAGACTTTTTTCAAGGCGGAAATATATTTTTAGTTGAATACTCGGTGATTGAAACGTAAAATTTTCAGTTTGATATTCTGGCTTCACCACCTCTTCCGGTAGATTCGGGCAGGCTTGTTCGCGTATGTTCACGAACGGTTCATTTGTTGTTCGTGTGTCGGCCGCTCGATCGTCGAAACATTACAGCTTTGCAGGTAGTTAGTGAGAAACGTACATGTACATGTGGCGGCGTCGATGTACGTGCATTGGATGGAGTTAATGTTTAGTACGGAGCTCTGGAAGTGCCATCCGACTTGTTCAGATACCGAGATAATTTTTCTTATTAAGTCGACTTATAATGCGTATTTAGTCGATTTAACGAGATAAATGATGTAGTCAAGTCGACTACCTAATTCCAGTAAGTCGACTTGGCGAAATATATCATGACATCAAGTCTACTTTTGGAATTCCCTATGTCAACTTGGCGAGATTATTTATGTAGTTAAGTCGACGCCCTTATTTGATGAGATGACTTGGCGAGATAACTTATGTCATCAAGTCTACTTTTGGAATTCCCTATGTCAACTCGGCGAGATAATTTATGTTGTCAAGTCAACTTTACAATTGTGGGAAGACGGCTTGGCAAGAAAATTTATGTAGTCCATCTAACTTCCTAATTCTGGTAGGTCGACTCAAAAAGATAATCTATGTCAGTGAGTCGACTTCCTAATTGTCGTAAGTCCACTTGGCGAGATAATCCATGTCATGTTGTACACATGCAGGCATGAACTGACCGCTCACATGTGAACGTGACCTCAGTGCAGCGCATTTTCTCGCCAAGTCGACTTGCTTGAATTTGGAAATCGACTTGACAGCAAAATATTTCGACGAGTCGACATAGTGAAATCTGAAAGTAGACATGATGACATGAATTGTATCGCCAAGTCGACTTACTAGAATTAGGAAGTCAACTTAATAACATAAATTATCTCGCCAAGTCGATATAGGGAACTCTGGAAGCAGGCTTGATATCATAAAATATCTCGCGATGTCGACTTACTATACTTAGGAAGTCAACTTAACTACATCACTTATCTCGTTAAATCGACTAAATACGCTTTATAAGTCGACTTACAAAGATAAATTATCTCAGTATCTGAACGAGTCGGACGGCACTCACAGAGCGCCGTAGTTTAGAAAACTACGCTGAGTTCTTTTTTTACTTAAACAGGAACATTCTTTTCTGTGTAAAGGAAAATAATTTATGTTACTTTTGCAAAGCTTCCTGTTATCTCTCACGTTGTAAGCCATCTCTCCACCTTTTGCAGGTGTTAAAAAATCAAAATCTCACGAGTTTATCCGTGTGTTCCACTAAGACCCTGACGAGGAGGTGTTGTGTGATACTGTTCTAGTTCTGAGAACAGTGTTCTTGAGTCGTGTTGCCGCTGTTCTAGCGCGAGAACAAGAACAGGCCGCTCGAACTCAGCCAGCTTCGTTTCCATGATGTACTCAGAGTACTAGTACTTCGCCTCCACGGCCTGTTCAACAAAGTGAAGAGTAACCTGAAGGGACGAGGTTGCCGGTTCCGGTATCCTACAAATAAAATTACGCGACAGGGGAAAGTCCCGTCGTGGCATATACGCACCTACGTATGTATCTGGTTATCGTGCTTAGTTTCGACTTTGTTGGTAAGTTTCTCGAATGTAAGAAATTCAGAGCTTTGCTTGTAATAACAGAATCAGGATCGGGACTTTAATCTGATGAAACGATGGACAGTGACGTGACTCATTCGATTTATGACGAATTACCGTTTCACCTGTCAATTGGTTGCCGATGATGGATGCTTTGCCGCTCCCGTCCCCCGGAAATCCTGGCTCTGTTCATTACAATTCAAGTGGCTCGACGTAGTTGGTTGACGTCAAGGGTGTTGGTCTTGGGAGTGTGTACTTTTTTTGATCTGCAGTGGGTCTAGGGTAGGATCATCCCCCGGAGTAAATTTTATTTATAATTTCATATAGAATCGCCAAAGGGTTAAAAGCTCTCTACACATGAGCAATTATTAATATACAGTGTAATGAACAGTGCTGCTACTTTCGTAAACATTTATCTTGTCTGCTCATCTACCTCTAGTCTTGCACATTTTTGAAATGGAATTATAATTTGAAGTTTACTATCTCTTTGGTTGGCAGGTTTAGAACTTTCACCAAAAGCAGAGAACCGGGAAAAACATCTCATGATTTTTGCATATTAACATTGAATTTCAAAATGGGACAACTCTGTTATTTTTGTGCTGTAGACATCCTGAAAAATATTTGACAGGTGTCACTCACTGTTGACAATATGATAAATTACCGGCCCGTGTCTACTGCTGAGGTGGGTTTGTTCTGATGCACATAAAGTGGCAGGTAACCAATCCAATGCTATTTCGTTTCATTCGTGCTTTATGTAGTTCAGTTGAGACGTTCCCAAGAGCAAGAAAGATGGATACGATGAAATCACTCCTGCTGTTGTGTGTGTTGTTGCTGACCTATCCAAAGATGGCTGGAGGTATGCCGATATGCTTGTCTGCAGAAATGAGTGCAAATAGTAGAAACCAGATAACATGCAGGCATAAGTGTAACAATGTATCAATTTGTTTCATATAATAATGTAAAACAACTATGAAAGCATAAAGCTGTTTTGGGTGAGCCAGAGATGAAATATGGCTTGAATTGATTCAAATGTTAATTTATTTAGATTGATGATTATAATCTCATAACACTTCCAATCCGTCTTGATTACCCCCTCATTGATTGAAGAGAGCCAAGTGGTAGCCATGCGACTACAACACATGCTTTTTATAGTCATTTGTGAATCAGTGAAGAACATTTCCCTCTAAAGAAACCTGTATTGCCAGGAAAATTGCACCCTCTTTTAGTTCTGCATGGAATAGATACTCAACAATGTATAAACTTACAAGAAACTTTCAGCATGCCTTTATTCTTCAAGAAATGCTTACAGCTAAATTTTGTGTCACTGTTCAGGTGGTCCATTTTGCTATTACTCTTGTTTGGGCATTATTGTTGTCGGGACTCCGGTAATTGGCCGTGCTGTTGTCCAGTTGCTGGGCTTCACATCATCTGGAATTGCAGCAGGATCTTTGGCAGCTTGGATAATGTCCCAGTATGGTGGTGCGGTGCCTGCAGGCGGCTGGTTTGCAAATTTACAGTCAATTGGAGCAACTGAAAGGACCATAAAATTTGCTTTGAGCTCAGTATCAGACTGGTGTCATGCTATCTGTGTCCCTTTTCCATAGATTTGCTAGTGATGTCAATTTGAAGATCACAAGGCACAGTCCCCATTAGTTAGTGTTACTACACCAGAGGGAAGCATTGTTCAAAAATACACATCAATTGAAGATAAGTGTGGCAGAGCCAGAAATGTTTATGTTATTAAGTACACGTTTTTACATAGAAGTAGTTCCCCTTTAAAAATGTTTAACTTTAGTTTAGAGTTCTTGATTTTTTTCTAGTAGTGTGCCCCCTGTTCATTTGTCTAAGCCCTAGCTTCCCCCATATAGAGTTACCACATGGTCTGGTCACACTCAGTGTAGCAGATCAGCAGAGACCAGTCACCTTCACATGTACCTATGTATTGTTCCTCCTAACTGAAGTGTGTTTTTTCTGCTTGAGTCCTATTCTGCTAGAAGTCAGTGGTGAGTTTCTAAACTTTTCTTTTTCATGTAAAGTTAATTTTCCCCTCTGTCCCAATATTATTTAGTTTCTAAACCTTTTTTGCCAAGGTTTTTCAATTTTCTTTCTGCGTATTAGTTTTCTGAATCACTAGAGTTTTCCTAAGTTTGTCTAACTTTTATGCCTAGAAACACACTATAAGCTTAAATATCCTCTTTTAGATCTATACTTATCTGATTTTCTCATATTTTCTTAACTTTCTTACTCTTTTTAGTTTAGGAATGTTAGTGATGTATAAGTATTTCCATCCATTTGCCTCAGAACATGCTTTTCTTTGTCTTCTCTTCGTTAGTTGATTGTTTATTTGGACTTGCCAGGGGATTTGAATACTTAATGAGTCCCATAGACCTGTGCACATTTTGGTTTTACGATGTTAATCCCTGCTCTCCTTCCTGTTCTGTGTAGTTCATGCACAAGAAATTTTGTTGTTTCTTATACATGTATGTATGTTCTCTACTTCTCTTGTTTTCCTACAGATTGAAGTCTGAGTGTAAACTCATAAGGTCCATTTTTACGCACTGTGTTGGGTTTGGGTTTTGAGTCTTTGAAAGTCTTAGTCTTTGGGTGTTTTCAGTCCTTGAGTCCTTTTAGTTTATTTAGCATTTTTCCTGTACTTTTTAACACTCCTCAGTCCTCCAGCAGGTGGAGGATTGACGAGGGTTAGGGTTAATAAATTATTTTTTGTCCCTTTTTTTGTAGTTAAATATTGGTGTCTGACTCCTTGTTAATTCAGTTTCCTGCGACTTCTCCTTCAAAGATCCTTGGTTTAGTTAGAGTTTTTGTTGTTTTGCTAATTCCCCATAGTGTGCCATTTTTCCCTGTTACATAAGCAGCATAAAAAGGTGTTACAAGAAAAAACGAGTTTGCAAAAACCTCATGACATTCAACCAATATTCCCTATTCATGTTTGGATGAGTTGAGAAAAGCACTTTGGAGAACTTTTTCTTTCATTGACAATTAATTATGGCTCCGCAGGTTTTCCTGTAGACATCTTTATGGCTTGTTGTTGTTCATGTTATAGTTCAAATGTCTTGATCCATATTTGTTAATTTTATTTTGTGCATACATTTTTAACTGGTGATACGTTTCATTGTCTGTATAGCAATTTTGAGCTTAAAGGAATTTCTTTGGACTTTGTGGGTAATAATTACTGTTATGGCACTCTCTAGCAATGAAGTGCATGTACTACCCTAAGTGCCTTCCAATAGATTACCGTAGCGTTTCCAAGAAAGTAGTGGATGGGGTATGGTAGGACCTCATTTAAAGAAAGTTTTTCGTAACATTAGAAACATTTTTATCGACTATATTTTGCAGTTTTGCTTTAGTCTACTGAATGCAATGCAGTACTATTCTATTTTGGACTCTGTATTTATACAGCAAAGATCTGTCATAAGCAGATTTAGATGTCTTTGTCTAAATTTAGTATATGAAAGGAAGATGTTTGAAATAGGATATGTTGTTATTGTTGCACATCGCAAGAAGTTTGCTTCTGACAAAGAGATATACCATAATTTTTTATGTTGATCATGGCATCAACGTTTTGCATTGGCTTCAAAGAAGTCTTAATCTGATATCAATTTTCAAATACTTGCCTTACATCTCAAATAACAAGTTCATTATGTAAAAAGAAAGTTTCCATTAGAGATGTGTTAATCTTCACTTGTTTAATTACAAGCAAATCACATCAGGTCACCAATCTGGTCATAAGTAACAAAAATGAGCCAAAACAAAGGACTGCCTTTGTCACAGTTCATTTGAGTAGCTTGCGACGACTTGACTCAAGACTAGGCACCTTGCGATGAACTTGTGATGGACATGTGAAGATAATAGTACAGGGATTTGGTACAAAACTGCACGAAGGTGCAAAAGTTCAGCCTGGTTCATTGTGTATTGTCTCATTTGACCACTACTACATCTAATTCTTAGAAAACCTTGGATATCTTAGTCGGATTTATAGATCATAGAAGCTCATGTTTGTTTAGCCAATTGTCAAAATAATGACGAGCCACTTCACCGGTAACGGGGGACAAAACATCTAAGGAATGCATTTTCCAAAGTTCAACTGAATAATTTTTGACTCGGTTGGAAACTGAAAGGACTTACTTGTGCAAGAAAAGTTGTAAAGACTTTTAACTTGATGAGTAACAATATTAATGCATCATTGTACAATTCTTAGAATGATGAATTTCATTGTAATGCCTGCAGTAACAATTATTGTCACTATACTGAACTTAACAATTTTCAGTATTTCTTCAGTACTAGAGAATGTGCAATTTAGATTGAGCTAGATAAATAATGAAGATAAAGTACGTTCTTGAAAAGGGTGTGTAAATCTTTCTCCAATGTGCATGCGTGTCATTTCTTCTTGTAAATGCATGCGTCGCCTCGCTGATTCGACCAATCAGATTAAAGTATGCAAATTGCCCCGCAAAAACGTAGGTTTGAAAAGACTATAACCGGTACAGCGCCCAGTGGAAGAAGACTTTCGAGGGATTGTCAATGCTTTGTGTGGCGATCTTGTTAAGTTTATGTATAACGGGGAAAATGGCACTCTATGGGGAACTCGAAAAACAACAAAACTTCTAACTAAATTAAGGATCTTTGAAGGAAAAGTCGCAGGAAACTGAATAAATAAGGACTCCGACACCAACATTTGACTTCAAAAAAATAATTTATTAACCAAAAAAAAAAAAAAAACCAACCCAGCATTACAACCCCCAAGTCCCCAGAGCAGTGACTTGGAATCCTTCAAGTAGGCTTAGAGTTGAACCCTTCTCAACTGCCAAAAATGGAAAGATTTTTTTCTCCCTATCTTCCAGAGAGGATTATACAATTAGTGCTTGAAAGCTAAGGTTGCTCGGGGGAAGAACGGAATTCCACACATCAGTACAGCATTTCTCACCCACATTAGTCTGGGTCGGGTCTCCTAGTGATATTACCCCTGCCCAGCTGCTTCCCCCGTCCTCCCCCACTTTGCCGGGCTCCGGGGATTTCTCCGCTTCAAACAGAAGGGCAAACATGGTGGTGGGACCGCAGTGCATTGTGTAGAGTCAAGGAGCAGCATGCATAATTAAGTAGTAATAGGCACATGGGAAATTTGCGTATGTAGGCTGGGCAGGGGAATGTGAATGGAGGAGACTTCATGGGCATCATTATGACTTTCCAAGTAGTGAGAAATCATATACCTGCGCTAGTAGGAGAAAGCGATAGTATGTCCTTTACAGTCCAATTTAGCAGGGAAAACTTTGAGGCCTTTATTATTAGGAAACTTTCAGGATTTTTCTCTAGGGGTTTGTACACATGGGGTCCAGGTATGGAAGTCTTTCTGTCCAGGCTGTTATAAGAATTTGAAAATTGAATTGTTTTTGTGCTCAAAAGTTTCCTTGCCCTGTGTGTTGACAGGATNACGGTTTTGCCAGATACACGTATACAAGGCCTGAAAACCAATTTTCATTTGATGGAAATCACTCTCAGGAGGTCTCTCAGCTGGTGAAAGTGGCACATTTAAAAGATGAGACTAAATGCCACAAACACAAAGGGGAAGGGAAACACTTTTACTGTGAAACATGTCAAGAGTTAATCTGCCGAGATTGTAGGGTTGTGGACCATCGTAAACCTGAACACCACTCTATGGATTCTAAGGAGGCTTCTCTCAAATACAAGCAATCACTGATGAGAGATATGCTTCCAGACTTAACCACAGACATAAAACGACTGGAACAATCTTTGGCTGCTTCATCTCGAGCACAGCAAAGGTTTACGGAGAATGTCACAATGACTGTAAAAGCTGTACAGGACAGAGCGGCTAAAATGAGAGCGGAGATAACATCTCAAGAGAAAAAGTTGATTGGTGAGATCAATCAAACTCAGCAGGATCGCAACAGAATGTTCGAGGAGCATCAGAAAACAATAAGCACTATGCTACAAGGAAAACAAAATTCACTGGTGATGGCCAAAGAAATCACCGATACTGCATCAGAACGTGGCTTTCTGTCCCTCTATCCTATCATCAGCAAGGACTTGATATCACTGAAGAGGCCAAATCCTCCCAAGATTGACCACGAGCTGTCGTATCTGAATTTTACTCCAGATCCAAGGATTGATAAACTGAACCTTGGCAAAATCAAGTTGAAAATTGACAAGTGGGACAAGCGTCACGAGTTTGGCAAACGAGGAAGCAGTCGAGGAAAGTTTGATATGGCTCGAGGTATTGCCGCAGCACAAACGGGGGATGTTGCTGTGGCAGATTGTTGGAACAAGCGAGTGGTGATCTGCGACAATGAGGGTCAACACAAGAAGTACATTCCCCTGCAATCACGTAAGCCTACTGACACACAAACATACAATTACAATGTATTTTTGTCAAATCACACAGCAAACCAGATAATCCATATCACAGGGACTAAAGGTGCATTAGATCATTAATGTTCTCAAAATAAATGTTATTTACTTTGCTTTTCTTCTTTAATCCCAGGTCCATGGGACACTGCAACTATCCACAATCATGACAATCAGTTGGTGGTTGTAGATGACACCAAGTATGTCAAGGTGTTCGATAAGAAGAACAAGCTGGCCTTCCAGTTCCCCACAGTGCCACAGAGTGAGGTTGACAAGACAGAAGTGAACCTCTGCAGTGTAGCAGTCAGGAAGGATGGCACCATCCTAGTGGGTGATGTCAAGAGGATGGTGTGGACGGAGCATAGACCCACTGATGGTCAGCTCCTACACACCGTACCGGTGCAGACTCCACCTTACTTCCTGGCTGTTGACGACTGCTCTGATAGAGTCGTGGTCTGTGGAAGCAACAAACAGAAAGTGGATATTGCTTCTAGCAATGGTAGAATACTGGCTAGCATCAAACCAACTATCAGTGGTCCCCCTGTCATGCACTGCTTTGGTGTCTGCTGCAGCAGTTCAGAAATTTACATTGCAGTATGCAATGAGCCCGGCACTGGTCACATTCACCACTATGACCTGGATGGCATTTTTCTCACCTGCCTGGCTCAGGGTCTGTACTCACCTCGTGGAATCACATTCACATCGGATGAGCAGCTGGCAGTGGCAGATAAATACTCAGTCAAGAGATATCACAAGGTGTGATGTCATCCAAGACACCAAACGAGATTTGAAGCTTTTCATGGTGGAGGTAGCAGGTAAACTGCATGTAGGTAGGTTTGCGGTAGTACCATGGATCTCTCTTCTTTGAGCAAGTGGGATTCTAACCCCAAACCCACGGTGCTACCGCAAATATATCTAAAGACATCAAACATCAATCTCCTGCATTATCATTAATCTGATGTGCAACAGCAAATGCTGATGAGATTGTCCAGTCACTGCAGCACCAATCACCCTTCACATTTCACAACTCTNAAATCTTCAAATCAAATATATGTCCATTGTCCTCACTATATTTCTGTCACAGTATGAAACTTATCTTTTTAACTACTTAGCTTGGAATCAGCTCATAATCGTTTTCGTCTACAGAAACTCGTTGCTGGACTCACCTGTGGCTGGCTACGGACGCCGGGGGAACTACCCGTATCTCCTAGCCAGCCTAAAGACGAAGTGAGATGCCGCCTTAAGTCAAGAGATTCACCGACAAGCCCCAGCCCACATTGCCTCTGTGATACAGGACATTCACTGTACGTTTCTGAGAGAGAACTTAGGACCATTCACAAGGCTCAGGAGGAACAGAGCAAGGCGGTGAAGGGCATTAGCGTTGGCACGACTCCTCCTGGTTGTGTTACCTCATCTGTGGCACAAATGAAACAGAATCATGATTCCAGTGGGTCAGACGTAAAGAGTTGTGGGCAAGATCAGGAATTTGAAACCGGACTTATATTTTTGGCGGGCTTCACTGTGGCTAGAGCACTGTTTGACGTTGCTTCTTTGGCTGCTCTCTGCAGTGCTATTTACATTGCTGCCTTGATCATTGGAGCTCCCTCGGTGGCCATTGCTGGCACTTACGCAGCTACAGCCGCTGTTTCTGCTGTTTTCGTTGAGATGGCAGTTGTTCTCTTTGTTGCTGTTTCTGGAAAAGGCAGCAATGCAGGGTCTGTGGTTACTCATGAAAATCGAAGGAGCGCTGATGAAGGCACATTGAAATTGCCGGATAGTAAAGATAGTCAGACTGGGGTCCTGGATTGTTCGTTTATTGCTACTGCTGTTATCAAAAACGACAAACCAAATTTCATTTCATCGTTAGAAAATCAAGAAAGTGGAGGGCTAGTCAAGTCAGAGACCGCACTTGGAGTTGAGCCCAACACGCTACTTGCCACGGCTCTTGGCTTCGTAGGAGTGTTTTTCGTTAGGGCTCCGAATGGCGTCATTGTTGCGGTCGCTGTGGTGGTCTACTTGTGCATTATCGCGGCTTTCGTCGCTGTCGTTGTGACCGGTGCTGGTGAAATGGTGAGAAGCTTCGACCCCTGTGCTCGGCTGGCTTGGCGGTGGAGCTGGGGCCAGTCGGACTCTGCGCACAAGATGACACTGCAACTTGGCACGGGCCTTGGCTGTGTCGTCGTTGTCGCTGTCGTGGTCGCAGCTTCTTTCCCCAAAGCCGCTGCTGTAGCTTCTGTTTTTGTTTCAGCTGTTCCGTCATCTGCAGTGTTTGCCTCGACTGCAATTTCTCTCAAAGACAAAGGCGAAGACCGAGTGTTAGTGCCCACAAACCTCTAAGGAATAAGATGTGTCATTCCTCAATGCCAAGACTAGGAGACACAAACTGAAGCCAAGAAAGTTATCGCAGTTGATGGTCATTGCATTAATGTCATTGGAACCAGGAACAAAGTTCTTATCGCGGGGGAGGGCGTTCTGAACTATAAATGCCCGTCTTTCAAATACCGCGTACATAAAGAGAAGGAAATGTAACAAAAAGGTCACAATAATATCGTGAGAAGACGATTTACGAGCCAAATTCCAAACCAGTTGTTTTATTTAAAAAAATATTAAAAGTTTAAAAAAAATCCTGGACGAGGATTGCACTGTCCATCTATCCACGCTATCATTCGACCACCAGAATTAGAAGCTATTACTGCGGTGGCACGACACTCATGGAAACATGGTACGCGTGCGTTACATGCCTCTTTGACCAATAGGGTATCGTGATTTACCAAATGCACGCGCGCGTCAAGCTGAAGAATGTGCATGTGAATGCGGCACTGATTTTATTATAGAGATCAGTGGAATGCGGTGCCACTGCAGTTATGGCGTCTAGTTGGATTAGTCTATAGTTAAACAACTGTATTGATTTCCGGGACCCGTGGATCCACTAGCTGGGACTTTAGTCAGAATATTGTAACAAAATTAGTGTTATTTTAATTTTTGTTGTGTGTTATAAATTTTATTTTAAATTGCTATATTTTTTATGTTCATGTATATGTGTAGTTTGCTTTCCATATCGGTTGATCTGGATTTAAATGTAGGACTATACCACTATGTGTAGTCCCACTAAATGGAACAGTCCAACATGACACACCTTTCATTGTTAAGTTAATTAGCCTACTGGGGACTTCTACCTTGGTTCAATGATCTTCTATTGTACAAAGATTCCTGGGACTTGGCATGCCACACTCTTATTGTTGGCATTGATTGGGCTATCTTAAAAAACTGGAGTGTACAAATTCTCACTAGGGACTTCTTTGACTGGGACGGTCAGGGGAACATCCACAACCGGAATGTTCCTGTGTCTTTTCTGTATGTAAGTTTTTGTGTTTGTTTCTTTAACAAAAACTTGGGATACTCCGCTCCAGCCATTCCTTATATCTGGACAGCTATGCTCTTGTGCATGTGGCCAGGGTATTGTTTTCTGTTAGAGGTCCATTTCTGGGGGGAGGGCGTCGCCCGCTTTGGGTTTGAGGTCTGGGTAGTTTGTCTTCACATGTTCACATGTGTGTGATTTAAGATGGCCAGCATGTGCAGGAGCATATTTAATGTCATTGCACCCTGCATGGTGCAGGGAGCAACTACTTGTAGTTAATTTGTTATCTCTATGGCCATATTCCTGTGTGATTAATTACTTGATTTTGTTTATTTTTTTAAGAAAATAAATCAGCTGCTGAAAGATTTCTGTGGATTGGTAAGTTGGCCAAGTATCATACATTTCAGTTATTTTCTTTGGTCCCACGTTTGTTATCGGGGTCCTTCATGGATTCCGTTACAAATATTGACAAGAATATAATATAAAATCAATGCTCTGAAATACGTATGCTGAGCTTTCGGTAACTGAGTACCTTCCTCAGGGCAAGCAGATTCAGTTCACAGCGAGAGCGCTTTGAACACGTTTAACGATCGAGTGACGCATTACGCGTGTGTGACGTGCAAGAGAATACGTGGGCGCAAGCCACAGACGTATATAAAAAAAACGTGGACTTGCAACGCCACGGTATGAAATAGAAGCCAACCAGCGGCCATGTTACCGAGCCGAATACAAATGCGCAGGTTGGCTTGCTTCGCTTGACGCCAGGGAGAACAAAGGCGGGCATTGCCGGGCAAGCTTTGTACTCGGCTCGGTAAAATGGTCGCGAGTTGATTTAATGATCTCTGTAAGCTGATTAGGGCATTGCGAGTCCAGATTTTTTTATATACGTCCGTGGCGCAAGCGCACAGCTTTTGAAATTCGCACGCAACTGACTTTACGTCATGTATATTCAACCCAAAGCGCCAATCTGCGTCATTTTCGTATTCTACACGACCAGGGCTAATGAACGAACGTGCACGCGCGCAGCCCGTGGAGTCGAGGATGCTTCGAGAGCAAGCACCATTGGGTGCGTTCGATTAGCTTCCCTGAATACGCACCAGTGTTACACTCAAGGGAAGTCTCAAAATGAGGCTTATCGAACGCTGCAGTGTGTTTTCCAAGGCATTCTGGGAAAAACGTCAAGTCCCCGCCTCGTTCCATCATGTACGTCCATGCTCGAACAGTCCATCCATGACGTCATTACACTCGGGCAGCCTCCAGAGACCCGCTCGCCAGCTGGGGTAGTGGTGGCTGACACCAGGGCAGTCACGAACATCACGTGATGGCTAAACGAACGCTCTCGTGTAAGTTTGACTTACACGTGTAAGCTAATCGAACGCACCCATTGATTGCAAGCTCCTATCAATTGGACGAGCATTCAAGTTGCGCGTTAACTTCTGGTTCCCCGCTTTATGTGCGGTGGGTGTGGTTTAAACTGAAGTGATGTCACACTTACGAACCGGATACTGCCGCCTGTGAACAAGGGTGGATCCAGGAATGTCTAATTGTTTTCATTTTTTGAGAAATAAGCGGAATTGACAATGAAACATTACATGACATACATTGGTGCACTTACTTTACTTTGTAAAAAATATTTTCCCCATTTTTTTTCAGAGCGGGGGGGGGTCGCTTGTTGCATTATGTATCCTCTGTGACCATGGAAGCAGCTCTATTAGCTATGTATATTGGGTGAATAAGTGCATGGCGCTGGATTGCATGTATTGAAAGAGAAAAGAGCAAAAACGCACATACTGCTGATGTATAAAAGTATAGCCAATTTTGGTTGCACATTGTATTTGTGTCGGGGTCATTTGCAAAAAGTTGGCACTTTTTGGACAGAGAGTAGACTTCCTACAAAACATGTTTTCAGCTATGTTTATTCATTTGCGGAGCTTTAATTTAAACAATGAAAACATATTATTACTAATAACTGAGATCTAATCATTAACTATTATCTATGACAGTATCTAAGACGAGGCAAAATGGCTGTTACTCGTAGCTTTTGTCCGATTTCAAAGTGGAGAGGATATTATGTTTTTCTAATTAGTATTGAACGCCTGTGTCATGTGGGTTGGTATTTCGCCCAACGAGGCTGATAGCATTATCGTCCATTCGACCATTTTAGCGACCATTTAGGCCAACACGGTTTTATGCACGACAGTCATGTTACATTCATTTAAATAATTCGTCCGAACAGTTTACTTGTAATAATAAGAGTTGAGTAGAGAAATACAACGCGGAGCCCATCACGCTCCATTGGTTTGATGAACTTGACTCAGCCAATAGGAAACGAGATATATGCACATTGTGCAGATTAGGATTCACGGTCTCTGAACGCACAAGGCGGCGGGACGCGGCGGGAATCATCAGATCTCCGAGTCCAAGGTAGGGTGAAAATGCCTTTGCTGATGATGCAACCATTCTTGGATACGAATCTGATGAGCGCTTTGACAGGTCTTCAGACAGTGTGTGATGAACCTGAGGCCACAATGATGCAGCTTAAACAGCAGAACAGCGAAAACTTACCACGAACGCAGAAGTTTTCAGCCAGATACTGTCCGAAGCGCCGTGAACGACCTGAGACGTCGATGCGGTGTCAGTGGAGGGGGAGGGTGTCACGTAGGTGGAGGGCATATGGACAATTAAAAATGAAATGTCTTTGAAAATGTCTTGACTGGATTGAAGGGGGGAAATATTTCAGAGAGAAAAAACATGACTCGGTGTTAATTTTGTCCAATGTCAGAGTAAGCCATCTCCAATTGTGAACCTTAATTTCAACACATTGGTGCTCAGTGATGCGTTACAGTAGAACCGTGAACGAGGCATCATTGGAATGCATATTTTATTCTCTACTTTGAGATGATACCAAGTTGTCCGCTTTGCCACAGTAACCATTTGAAGTAATTTATATTATTTTATTTATTTATTCTGATTTCCATCAGCAGGGATCCGCCACTTACAGGTATCATGGAAAACAAAACAAAAAACAACTAATAATAAAAACGGACTTATAGGGTAAAAAAAGGGACAAATCCAAATTACTTGTAAATAAATAAATAATTGTATAAACATAAACTTGAGTAAATACATACATTTAAGTTAAGTTTATTCAGTGTAAAACTGGCTTGGGCTTCCCTGTTTTACTGATACACCCTGTATAAATATCACGCATGGACCATGTACCAGTCCGTGATCCCTACTTTCAGAGGACCTCTGTATGGCGTCTAGAGACTATGTACGGCCGGGACGGGAACCAGTCTAGTATTGCAATTGCAGGGGAAACCCCGATCCCCGTCAAAGGCGTTGTTCCTGGACTGGGCCTTTTTATTTCCGTTTGTAACCCAGACGTATCTGGACGTCAATTTTTTTCCTTCGATTTTGTTGGTGAGTTGTCATAAACTAAGAAGATCGGAGCTTCCTTCATTATTTAAGAATAACAAATTTGCACTTTGACAACGGAAACGTGTTTCATTAATTCACTTCAAGTTCAACGCTGGCGCCAGCGTGTCAGTAAGTTGCGGCTACCCTAGCCCCACCAGTGAGGCACAGACTCTCACCCCCGATCCATCCTAATCGGGAGTGAGATGTCCGTGTCACACTAGTGGGGCTACGGCTACCCCGGCCCAGAACTATGGGGTACGATGTCCGCCCCGCTCCTGTGGGAAATTGGGCGGACGTCGGCCCCACAGCTCTGGGAGTAAGTTGCAGTCTCTTTAACTGTCATTACAGACGGGATTGATGTCATCGTTAATGGTGTCGGTCTTGGGGATGGGTATACAGTGGGAGTTGTTGGTATCCCCCAATTTTGTACCAAATATAATACACAATTTGTATTAATATGCAAACTTTCAATGTCCCACAGTCCAGAAGTCGACATAATGTGCTGTAGGAAAAAAGTCAAGTTTGGAAAAATCTTTAATACAGGACACTGTTTGCTAGTCTCCATTACTTTGCACTACTTTGGTTATACTAACATCTGTGAGATAAAACCCATCAAGTATCCACCAATCTATATTAGTACTCCTTTCATTTAAATTCAAGTTGTATCCAGCCAAAAGGACGGTCCTGCAGCAGATATGGACAACAAGAAATCACTGCTATGGATGTGTGTGTTATTGCTGACCTGTCCAAAGATGGCTGGGGGTATGTCGTTACACTTTGATGTTTACAGAAATTAGAGCAAACAACGAGCCAACACTACGTAATATTTGGACATGGGAAGTGATTAATGTACTCATCATATGCACTAATCTTATGCACTTTAAAAAATTATGCAAGCATAGCATTTGTGGGCATTTATGACGTCTTGGTAATAAAGTGCTAGACTTATGCGTCAACAAAGTAATTCAGTGATGGCTTGTTGTAAATGAAGAAAAAATGGTTGTTTGGAGTATGCCAGAGAAGAAGCTTTGAATGAAATTAATTAAAAAATTTTTTTTGGTTGATCATAACTACATACCTAATAGTTCTTTCTTTTATTATAGCAATCAAATCGCAAGAGGACAAACGTATATTTACTAACAAGAAAATCTCCATTTGCATTGCTTCCAACAAATGCTGTTAATATGGTGTCATTCTTCAGGTGGTCCGATTTGTTATGTCTCTTGTATGAGTGTGATTGGCATTGGGGGTGTGACACTAGGTGCTGCTGTTCTCCCTCTACTGGGCTTCACATCATCTGGAATTGCAGCAGGATCTTGGGCAGCTTGGATAATGTCCTGGTATGGTGGTGCGGTGCCTGCTGGCAGCTTGTTTGCAATCTTGCAGTCAGCTGGAGCGAGTGGGGGCTTTTCATTGTCATGGGCTTCATTTGGAGGAATATCGGGCTTTTGTACTGCTCTCTGTGCCCCTTTTCCATAGTTTCAACAAGAGAAAACACAGGGAAGGCCCTATCAGTTAGTTTTTACCACACCAAAAAAGGCACCCACTTATCCTGACAAACTCAGCTCATTTTGAAATAGGCACACATGGGTATAATTGAAGTTACTTTGAAAACATCATTTAGCTATATTTAAAGGGAAAAATGCACTAAAAATCTCATGCAATTCAACCAGTGCTCCATATTCAAACAAATTGAGAAACAGTTTAGAGACTGAGAACATTTTAAGAATGAAGAAATAATCTTCAGCAGTTTTTCTTGCAGACATTTTTGCTGCAGTGCTTCTTCTTCTTGTATGTTTTATTTCAGATAGTATTCATTCACATTTGTTTTGCGCTTATGATTTGCATCGTCTGTGTGGAAGTTTTGTGCCTGTAGAATATTCTCTACCTGTACTGAATATTCAATATTTAGCATTCAATATTTGAAACTTTGCTGATGCGAACTTTGAACAATGGTTTTACAGGTTATGGTTGTTATGGCTTTATCACAGAATGAAGATATTAATGAAATATTAAGTGCTTGACAGTGCAATTACTTTATCCCAAACAAATTAGTTAATGGGGTATTTTAAACAGCCTTGTTTAACCTTTGAACATTTTCTACCGATCGCATTTTGCAGTACTGTTGTGGTCAGCTGAGTGGAGTAGGTACAGCTTCAGACTTTGTAAGAGCTGTCACAAGCAGACTTTGGTATGTGTCTAAATTTACTGTCTTGATCGCATTTAATTGAGAGACATCTCAAGGAGTCTATGTCTCAAATAGCCAAGAGATTACTTACATTAAAAAGAAATTCTCTATCAGAAATGTATCAATTCTTACATGTTCAGTCTCAAGTAAATCACAAGTCAGTACATTGGTCTGGTCACAAGTGACAGAAAATGAACCAAAACAAAGGACTACCTTTGTCACATTTCACTTGAATAGCTTGCGACGACTTGACTCAAGACTAGGCAACTTATGATGTACTTGTGATGGACATGTGAAGATATGGGAGTACAGGGATTTGATACAAAACTGAGTATGCTCCGACACCTCAACCCGATTCATTATTTAATGCTTCATTTGACAATTATTGTATTCAACGCTCAGAAACATTTTGGATTTCTCACTGACCCAGTACTCTAACTATTTTCAGCTTTTATTTAAATCAAAGAAGCCCATATTGTAGAGGCAATTTTTGAGAAGTTACCAAAACCCATTAAAATTGTCCTGGCAGGTACAAGTGACAACCTAGTTCACAAGTAACAGGGTAAAAAAATCAAAGGAATGTATTTGCCAAAGTTCATTTGAAAAATAAGTGTTAGCACTTTCCTTATGAAAAGATGAAATTCAGATTATTTTAGAGTTCTACACATCTTTTAAATACATTAAGGAAGATCTTCTGATCTTCTGTGCAGTAAATGGTAATTTCTTAGCATTATGCCGGGAACCTCCATAAATCATTGCACTGTAAGCGTAAATGATGTCCTCAACAATTATAATCTGGACTCTTGTCTTGGCTAAACAATGCAAGGTATTTCAAAATCATTCAGAGTTGTTAGATTTTGAAGGGTTTGGGATTGTCAGAGTTTATTGTTTTGCCCACATTATAATAAACTTGATAAAGAAATCGGGAAGTTGACAACTGTATAACATTACAATCTGGATATGTAAATCACAAATGGTTTATGTGGAAATACCCAGATCTTGGAAACAACTAGGAAACTTTCTCTCGTTTGATTTGAATACTAAATAACTTCCAGATAACCAACAACCTTTGACATATACACAGAAATAAATCTATCAGGTATAAAAATAGTAGATAAATTTTGAAACTCTCTGTCTAAATTCTTTTAAAGTTCACTTAGTTATAGAATAAAAGTACCGAATCCAACCAAGTACCAACAAATATATACACACAAAAGACAATAACAGAGACAATGGTATGCTGCAAACAATTGCTGGTAACTTAGCCCAGCCTTTCAAGAAATGCATTTTCCAATGTAAATACAACTGGAATAACTAAATGTGTACATGTCCCATTCACTCAACCTCATTGCCAGGCTTTCACTTGTACCCATTGAGCTGGCAATGGCTAATTTCTTTCAGCTGTCATTGGTCAGATTTTGTGTCACTTCTGACCCAAGGCCCTGTTTCCTTACATGCCTCCAGATCTAAATTAGCTACCCACAATCCTTTGCATTTCCTTCGCAATATTTTGCGAAATGTTAAAACATGTATTCATTAAACTGCCAAACCAGGGAATGTATGTAAAATAAGCCAAAATCTATAATGAAGGGTCAAACAGGCAGAATGGTCTACCCCCTCCCTAAAACTGCAATCATTCCTGATGTGCTGGTCGTGTCTAAGCCAAAGGCTTTGTTGCAGCATCTTTGTACTTCCAGAGTAGGAATATTCTGAACAGGCTACTAAAGACACCAGGAACGTTGGGAACCTGGGGGAAATGAGGACCAAGAGAATCATAAAAATATTGGTAAGATCAGTGGTAACAACTGCCAAACTTTGGATGTAAGTGGAATCACTAAATGAGAAAAATGTTAGGGTTTAGTTCATGCATGGCAAAGAGAGTTTGAAAGGTTGAACTTCCGATATTTTTTGGAAAAATTCAGTAAATGATTTCAGAAATTGTTACAATTTTTGGAGTGGCTTGAACTTTTCAGTGGAAGGTTTCAACTTTGCATTTTCTACAATTTATTTCCACAGATTTCATTTTGAATTCTATTTTCCCAATTTACCTTTTTATTTTGTTTGTTATTTTATTGTTATCAAAAGTATTACCACTTTTATAAATATTTTTCACTCGAAAGGTTTTCCAAAACGTGTTGTTTCTTATTTTGTTTATAGGTGGCAAGAAATGAATCCATGTGAAGAATTCGTAATCAACTTCAAACCTAACAAGCTGCAAAATTTAGGTCGGATTTATACATATGTTAATATGAAAATAAACAAAATCCTTACCAGAATGTAAAGGTCACTGACACATGTGCCATACAGAACCCACAGTGATGAAGCACAGAGTGTGGATATGGTCAACGGCAGAGAGATGCTACTCGTAGATTTGGTCTGGATCACTGTCACCTGCAATTGAGATATCCCTATCATTCATTAAAAGCTTCCAGGACACAGAGGCGTAGCTAGACTTTTACTATGGGGGGAGCACCAGTGGGGCAAGTTTTTGGTAGCCTTGTTCAATATCCATTCATCCGTTGTTTTTTTTTCAGTGGGGGGAAGGGGCGTCAGGAATTTGTGAAGCCCCCACCTGCCCCCATGGCTACGCCACTGCCAGGACACCAACTCTGGAATGCTGGAATTCATTTCAAGGTACAAGACTCTCGACAAATGATACTTGTGTGGCACCTCAATGAGCCAATTCTGTATTTCAAAAGGGCAAAGTCGATGACCGGGCAGGCTTGGGAAAGGGACAGATCTAGAAAGAGAGGTGCAAACTTGGAGGGTCAAATGACAGTGGACAGTGGGAAGCCCTCAATCAGGACATAACCCACTGGAGTCACTTTAAAATTCACTTCAGTTAGGAGGCGGGGTACCCCCTTCTTAATCTGCCACCGCAGATATAAAAGACCCATGTCTGGCAGTTGCTGGAGGGAGGAGGTGTCAAGGAAAGCTGTAACAAAACATTCTGCATGATACTCACTATCTCAGCCAAAGGAGAGATGTACATAAGCACCGTCACCGAGCTGCAGACAAACCCAAGTTGATTGATGATGGCATTTATCTCGCCGACATACATGGAAAGATACAAGTAGAGAGACACCATGGCAACACAAGCCAGAACAGTGCGCTGAAAAGCCTGAACCTGGAACATAGGCAACATGATGGCACTATGATCAATTAGATAAAAAAAGCTCTTGCATCATTGTGAGCAGGATTTCGTTTAGTCAAGATAGCAAATTTAGCTCTTTTGCTGCAGCAAACAAGAAGGAAATAAGCAACACAGTGAGGCTTCAGTTTATCAAAGTTACAACCACAGATTAGTCCAAATGTTTTGCGATAATTTGATGAATGCGGAGCTTTGAATCCATTGCTGTATTTGCCTATGTGCACGAGGCAAGCTCCGTAATCCCATCCTGTAGTGTTGGATACCAAAGAATTTCAATTAGACTGCAACCACAACTCCTTAGGAACTTTGGTTGACAGCGATAAAGGTAAAGGCCACTCATTTTAAATATAAATGCATTTATCAAATAATGTACACTGGCAGAAATGGATGCAGAAAAGGGGTGCACCTGCCCCTCAACATTTCAAATTCCTTTTTAACAGATGCCTTTTTTTTTACCATGGTTATTTATATACTCTAAACTGGTTATCTTTTGGCAGAAATTATCACTTGAAATATACATGTATAAGTACATTGCTTGTACGTTTGGGTTCATCTTCATTTGGTATGATCTCCCCCCCCCTAACGTATATGTTGGCCACCTCCACTTCTTGATAGATCTGCCACTGAAGAAAATGTTGAATTGTACTACAGATGTCCAAGCTTTGTGTGCAGCATGGCCTAACCACCTCTTCCACTTTGAAAAGTTTCATTCGTACCCGAGTAGGGGAGTATACCATGAATACGATCATGTAACATGTCTGTAAGAAGCTCCCTACGGCATTGACGGTAATGATGGTAGGATCGCTCTTCAGATAGCCGTAAGATGTCCACAAAATATTGCTGGAAAAAAGAAAAAAATTGGGATTCAACATCTGAGACAGATCAAGACAGGTGAACTTGACAGTAAATTACCTTATTTAGTGAAAGCTTTTGCCTCTGAAGAAGTGCAGAAACATTAACCACTTCCTGCCGGGGAGCCTGGTTTGGGCACCATGTGTTTAAACACAGAGCCGGGTGCCTTGTTTCGAACAAAAGAGCTGGTCTGTGTAACAAAAGACTGCTCGGAACAAACGACCTGCTGCTGGGAATTGCCATCATTTTTCTACTTCCATTTTCGAAGGTAATCCGGCACTGTTTTGAAACAGTATACCGCTGTTGATTAGCGACACAGCGCCACTGCTGGCATTCACCGGAACAAAGGAAATTATGCAACACTACACAATTCTGGGCTCTCTTTTACAGGGCTGCAGGCCTGGATTAGAGTAGCCACCAGAGAGTCGTTTGTGGTAAATGTCCAGTAAATGAACACATTGTAACAACTTATAACATTGTATTAAATTTAAAATGTGTTTTAGATCATCAATTTCTGAGGAAATGATTACTTACTTCAGGTTTGTCATTAGAAATGGGAGAAACATGACATTTTCTGTGCTTCCAGTTTTAAGGACAATCAGGCAGTCAGGGCTGAAGAATAAAAATGTGAATGACAGAGAATCAATCCCAATATGGTCATAATATTACAAACTTCAAAGAGGGAAATTGCAAATCACACAACGCCATTGCTAATTTCACGTTTCACTGAAATCATCACGACTACACTTAATATTATGACAACATTATACATATAAATATTTAGAATATTTGGGCATTGATCAGATAAGATAAAGTACATAGATTTAACAGAAAAGTAAACAATGAAAATTAAATCAGCAAATTTATAAGGAACCTCCCAGAGGAACACACCTATGAACATAATACGTATTCAATAGAAAATACAAAAACTTATGTAAATACAATGCATAAAATGAAGATTCAGAAGTTGTTATACACTGAATACCAGGTTAAAAAAATGGGAAAATTAGTATAAAAAGTTGCTGACATAAACACAGAGGGCAAACACTTAAATGTAAAATGTTACACATGTAACTTACTGTATTACACATAGTCAAAAGAAAAACAAACAGATAATCAAACAAAATAACATACATTAAGTAAAGATTTATCCATGCAGAAAACAAACAGGAAGTGAACACTGTTGAATCAATCACTGAGCAAGGAACAGATCAGTGTGAACATTGCATCTTCAAAAGAAAATAACAAGTTTAAATAAGTTCCATTCATAGGATAATAAGCTTAGGGGGGAGTACAATAAATTTGTGCAAGGTTCAAGACTGCGCTTATTAAACATTACCATGCCTCAGCCGGAGCCTGACCTAGTTACTGTCAGACAGTAGGCCTTGGGGGCAGTGTCCTAATTCAAATAAAATTCTCTGCCAGGCTAAGGCACTTAAAAAGTACCCCTACAAATTCTTTCAAAAATAGGGGTCTGTGTGGGCCACGAAATTGTGGGATTGTGTAAGTAAGGCCTAGGATCACCTCTATAGATTCAGAAGCACCCGTCTTGGGGCAAAGCAGACAAAAACGTGATTGAAAATTTGTCAGAAGAGCCTGAGAAAGGTGTGGGGTGACATTTAAAAAATGGCTGCTGAGAAGACTTGGGAACATTCACATTTGTTTGTTCATTGGTTAACCTACTCAAATTTGAAAATGAAATGAAATGAAATCTGAAGGACCGAACTACCCCCAGAAATGTGGGGTCCGATGTCCAGCCACGCCCTGCTCCCACGGAGTGGACGTTGGACCCTACAGTTCTGGGGGTAGGACCAAAGGGGGAACAACACATTATTTTTTTGTTTGAGAGGCCTCAGGGCCTTTATTTGCCTGTCATGGGGCTCCAAACTTGGTTGATATTACACTGTTTTCAATGGAGCTTGAACTGGTTCAGTGCACCGAATGTTGGTCATGTCATCCCTGAGTCAACTCGTCCCCTAGTCAAGTCGTCCACCATATAAATAATTACATTATGAAAATAATTTTACTGCAGTTATTTATTTTTTTTGGGGGGGGGGTTAGTTTATTTGTCTTCTTTTTTACTTCTCAATTTTTTAATGGGGTAATTTATTTTAGGGGGGGGAATTTATAAAAAAAAAATTCTTTTCAAGTTTTTACTGGGGTAGTTTATTTTTTCTTTTATTGGGATATTTTTTATTTATTTTATTTAAGTTATTTATTTTTATTTCATTTAATAATTATATATTAATAATCAAAATATCCAACAGGACTGAGCTATCTCAGAAAGAGCTGGTTGGTTTGACGACTCAGGCCCCGTTTGCTTAATGCTATGGTCAAGTGAGATGCTTGCATTTGGCAAGGAGATCAGACGTGCTCAGCTCGCCCACTGGGAGCACACCCAGTGCAAAAATAGCTACCCCTACATGAACAAAACCAACTTAAACCTTTTGAAACAACCTGATTTTCCTAGTCATTTTAAAACTAAAATGTATTTCCGCATTACTGATTTCAGAAAGTTATTTAAATAAACCGGAAATGACTACTGGCAAATTCGAAATTTAAAGATGTTCAAATTGCTTTGATAATTCAAAGAATAAGCCTAAGGCCTATGTGCTGTTACATAGTACATTGGCACACAACAGGAATTGCCTTTTAATAAATATTTTGTGTGGCACGTCTTTGCCACCATAGATTTCAAAAGCGAGCACAGTAGCACCACAGAACGAATGAAAATTGTGAATGAATGAGTATATGTATGTACAAGTCTCTGTCTTGTTTTCTTTCTCTATTTTACGTGTTGATGTACCTAAAAAAGAAAAGGAAAATTATACATACTTTCATAGATAACACTTGGGGGACGACTTGACCCGGGGACAATTTGACTTGGGGACGATTTGACCCGGGGACGACTTGACCAGGGTTTCAATTTTGGGGGGCGACTTGACTCGGGGGACGACATGACCCGTTTCCCAGTGCACCTTTGCCTTGTCCATGTTGTCCGTATGTGCCGTACCAAATGTTAGTAGGCCTAGTAGTAACCATGATGTAGTAACACACAGCCTCGACTGGTTAATGAACTTTAGCTTTGGTGGTAGGCAATATTTAACTTTGATTTCACTTACATTCCAGCCATGAACATGCCAATGGTGAAGAGAGTCGTTGTCAATGATAGAATCTGCATCCACTCCATTTTGGTGATGATCTGAATTAACAGAACGTCGAATAATATTAATTAAGGCCTAGGCCTACTGACAAAAATTCATTCAGAAATTTTACATTCAAGCGCCACGTACATCTGTTTGTTTCCAATGAAGAGCCCAACCGATAGGGCTAGGGCTTTCATACTCCGTGCCGCTAATAATATTAGGTGAAGAGCCACAGCCGTAGATAAAAATTCTAGTCTGATAGCATGGGCTTTCCGTCGAAATTGACTCTATTTGATGCTGCTGCTGATGAAATGGATGCAAGACTTTGGGGGAAAGGCGGGGACACCAATCCGTAATAATTACACATGTATGAGTTGTGATTGAGGCATAACGTAGAGTTCTTTTTCAAAACAGATCAGCCCCCCCCCCAAAAAAAAACTGAAAAAGACAAGCTTTGATTTACCTGTTGGTGAGAATGATCCCTGCAACGGGTTGGGGATTAGGGGCATCCTACGGACCCCGGTCTTTACCAATCGGACCCCTCCCCATGACATGACGTCAGAGCTGGGGCAGACATGGGGTGTTTTAACCCTCCCCCCCCCGGGACACCTAACTTTTGACTGGGAACGCATGGGCCATCAAACATTCTCCTTAAAGATGACGAGAAACGCAAATTTTGAGGTTATTTTTAACATTCAAAACGCAAAAATTAAGAATAAAAGGAACAGATCACGAGTTAAAGGGAAATGGAAGCAGTTCAATTAAGAAAATTAAAATGCGCTGGATGTTACCTGAAAGGCAGTACACGTTAACAACAGTAAAACAAAGAAAAGTTATTTAAACCATAAGAATCAATCATGATGGTTTTGTAAAAACTACAAGACGTTAGCCTAGTTCCTTCCTGCACCCTTGAAAGGAAAGAAACAGAAACCTTAAGATAAGCGTTAAAGAAGGCAAGCACTATCTTGAACTTTTATGCCAAATTTTTGTTGACAAAATACGAGAAAAAAATTAAAAAGCTTGTTTTCGCCCGGGGTCGAACCGGGGACCTTGCGCGTGTGAGGCGCACGTGATAACCACTACACTACGAAAACTTCGTGCAAGGAAGTGTAATTCTAAACAACTTATACCTTGTATAAAATGTTCAATACTACTGCGCAAGCGCGTGGCTTGTTTGCGAAATGAACGCATGCGCATTAATGAAAATGTAATAATATGGCGTCGGATATTGAAAAATTGTTTTTCTTGGACAGGTCGCGGATTGAGGTGATTTTTTTTTAATCTGCATGGTAGTTTTCATCCCCAAAGTGTGTTACATCTGATATCTTATATGTTAAGTATAATATGAAGGACGTTTAGAGCTCATTATCTGCTCAAAATGTCTGTTAATATTACGGTAATTATGCAGCGATTTTTCAGCGAGCTCCGTTGGAAAGGTTGGAAGTCATCTTTGTCGTCTTCGAGGAACCATCAATAAATTTAACTTTGAATTCGTTCGAGTTTATTGAAATAAAACAACACCATTTTTTCGATTGTCAACAGAGGATGAACATATATTTTCCTGTTTGAGTTATCACGTCAATGTGAAATTCCATCTGAACCCAGTGCCATCTACATTGGAAGCAAGGGTGCGGTGCGTCGCATCAAAAATGAACCAGGTCAACTTTCACTTTCTGATTTTTAATCCGTATTTTCCACGTTTTATCGCAAATATTTCTAGCTGGATTCCTATGCATGAGCTAAACAATACCCAGGCATGTGTATGAAATGTTATTTTGCTTTTTGAGGTCTTTTTATTTTACAACAATCGCCTATTTTTCGTTCGGTCACTTTGTTTTTCTGCTGTCTCTTCCCGCGTCAACGTGGTTGCCATCATTTCTCCATAGGAATACGTTGAAAACCAAGCGTCGTCTGCTCCGCTCTGCATGCAATTCCATGCATGTATTAATGTGTGTTTGCCTTCCTTTCCTTGTCACTGCGTTTCCACACCAGTACCCTTTTTTATCCCCCGATGGGTATCGGGGTTTTCCACCAAAACAACCCGTAAATCCGCACGTATTGCCACCCTCTTCACCGGCCAGCACGCTGCCTGTCTCCACCGCCGCTATGTTACTAACCACCGCCCCGCTACCGACTGATTTACCGGGCACACCGCCGTTCATCTATACCCCTTCCAAACATCACCAACATCTCCAGGTTTCCCAGCGAGACAGATCATCTGATGAAGAGGATAAAATGCAAGAAGACGCCGACAACACTTCAGAAGAGGAAAAGAACTCCAGGTAAGAATCTTTTTGAGACCAAAATCACCATGTTTCTGGTTTGTTTTGATGATTTGAAAACTGTAGCAGACGACAAAAATCCCCATGCCTTTACATGGTATACACTTTCAGAGATATTTTGCATTATCTTGGTATGATTGTGAAAGGGTCCCACTTTTCTTAACATTTTAGAATGGTCTTACTTGAACTGGGAGAACTTCTTTGGTGGGATAAATGATGTAGATTTGCTCACTTCTTTTTTTGCCCAAAATAATTTTTAAAATTTTGTTGTTCTGGAAGTCACCCCTGAACTTGATTGTAATAACAAAGTACAGCATAAACTGAGTGCAATTTTGGACAATGTTTAAATAGAAACAGTTATTTGTAATATTTTTAAGTGGAACAAAATAAATGAAAGAGTGAAAGGATGTTGGTCATTTGAGAGCAATGCGTAGTGATGTCTTCCTTGCTTTTTATCTTTTCCTTTTTTTTTGTAAGATTCCTCATGTTTCACACTCCTCATTCGGACACATGTACATGACTGTGTTGTACTTGCGCATGGCTTTTTATGTACATCGTACATGTACATTGACCATTGCAGTACCATCAGTGATTTTTATTGGAGTGAAACACTTCACATTTTTTGTTTCTCCTGAACACGCAATTTTCTTTGAGGTTTCTGTGAGTGAAACCCATAAACACTTGAATTGCATATACGAGATATGTATTCAGATATCGCACAAACTTATTTTGGGATTCTTCTCACTGACATGTCCATGTCTTTGCATTCATGCAAGCTGACATGCTTTGCTGTAAAGTTTGTAAACCTTACTTTCACAACTCTATGATTGTTCTGTTTGTAAAAAAACCTGCAAAATGCAGTAATTTTAGATCTTAGATTTCAACCAATTCAGAAATTTTGGAACCTGTACATGTGCACATATGATAGTTCTTCATGCATAGCAGTATACAGGAACGCCAAATCGAGATTTCTTAGATTTTTACTTCATTTTTAAAACAATTTTCATATCGGTAATTGCATAATTTGTAGGTTGTTAAAATTTCATCTAGACACTTTTTTCTTTTCCTTTTTTCTCTGTAAACTCTGTAAATTTGTTGACGTGGTATGGTTTGCATGGTAATGGTTTGCATAATCAGACTTGAGTTTTCAATGTACTGCACCAGATGTATGATGATGCTGGGTGTGATCAGGCGATCTGCACGATCACTCGATCTTTGCATGATGTCTTGATCTTATCTGTACTTATATGACTATGTGGTCGTGCGATTATGCTGATTGACTAATAGCTCCAACACTGATTTGTTTTAAGATAAGTTACACATGTACTTTTAAAGAGATCGCTTTGTTGCATTGAAGCTCCAGCAACAGCTCGGCAGAGGAGCAGGATTCAGACAATGACAGCCAATCAGAAGCAGTGGCTGCCTCGGGCTCCGCCTCCGACTCCAATAAACAATCAGCAAGTGATTCGGACTCTAGTAGCCAATCAGACAATGCGAGCTCAGACTCGGATGAGAGATCGGAGGACAACTCGGATGTTGACATTGACGACGAGGATGACGACGATAAAAATGACGACGATGATGAGCAAGAAGATGAGAGTGAAGACGAAGAAGATGAATATGAGGACGAGGAGGAAAGTGATTCCAAATCCAAGAAGCAACAACGGGGCAGCGGAAGAAGAACTGCTACTCGACGAGACAGCTTGAAAGAGGTGAGAGGTCACAGATAGGTCAGAGGCCAATCTTGTAAACGTGTAGTGAGTATCTAGTTTGGATTGTGCCAGTTAACCCCTTCATGCTGGGAAGCGGCCAAAGCCGCCATAAAAATTGAGATCCTCAGCCCGCTTTTCAGCTATTATTCTTGGCCCACGCTCGAGCGAACACGGTGAAAGAAGACAGACCCTGGCTCTTGTATATATGGTAATTGGTCTTTGTGCGTAGCCCAGAAATGAAAAGACCAATTTTGCATCATAATCACCAGCTTCACAATAGTGCCCACTTTGAAAAGAGGCAACAGGAATGTGGAAGGGTGAGTAGAGCCGCATGCCACCAAACAATCAGCCTTTTCACCGTGTAATTCAAAGCGTGCAGAGCACGCAGGGCCACAAACCAAAATTTGCGGTTTGGCAGGTGGCCTTCGTGGCCAAGCGAGGCTGGAATTCTTGGAGTCGGCTTTCGGGAAGCAATTTCGGGAAGGGTTAATGTTCAGAAGGAGTCTTTAAAATATTTGTTGTTTATAACAACATGTGTTCTGGATGTGAAGTTTGCGAAGTAATGTTGGTAATTTTTAATTTAATCTTTTGGATCAAGTGTAAGAGGTCAGTGGTCAATTTTGTTTGTGATGTTAATTTTTATGTCTTTTATGCTTGGAAGACTTCAAACATTGGTACAGTTTTTCACACCATAATTTGGGGTTTCCCCTTCTTACACAGTTTTGGGAGGAGGACCCAGAAATGTACGGTGTCAGGAGATCGGGCAGATCACGAAAAGAGGTGGAACGTTTCCAGGTTGCAGTGAGTATTTTTTATCATTTCACCTTCATAAAAATGTCGCCGTGTAACCTTAGGCTGTAAGCTACTAGGAAATCCACAGGGTGCTAAGAATAGCTCTTTATTAAAAGAATGGTCATTCCTGATCTCAATTTGCCATTTGACCCATTTGTTGTTTATTTTACTGGGATAGAAAGTGGATGATGACGAGGAGGAGAAACCGAGGAAACGGAGAACAAGCACATCGACAGGAAGCACCGGAAAAACAAAGAGAAAGGGGTAGGAAGGATCACAAACAGTCAAAGAATATTGAATGGAGTAGGACTTGAACCCAGAACCGACAGAATCCTGTACCTATTGCTCTGTCAACAGAGCAGCCCATCCTCTTGGCAGACTCCCTATTGGCTTAGTGTAATTTTTCTTGCAATGTACAAATCAGGCCATGCTTGGAAGTTGTAATTTCCAAAAAAAGCTTGGTTGACTTCATATAAAGGTTTAAAAAAAATTGCACTTACATTTTTAAATATTTCATTTATTTTGGTTTGGTGAAGAGTGTTCACATGCTTTCATTCCACCATTTTTCTTCTACTTTTGTTTCCACAAATGATTTTATTTGATTTTCCTTTTTTATGTCTCTCTTTAGGTCGGTCTTCTCCTTGATGAGCAGGAAGAAGGCATGGTCCAGTAGTAAGCTAAGTGAGACATCAGAGGAGGAGAGCAGTGAGTCTGACTTTGAGCCATCCGCAAGGCGCCGAGTGCCGCGAGCCAAGGCTAGGCCTAAAACTAGAACTCAGTCCAGGGGAAGACCCAGAAGTAAGTTGGGAAAACAGTTTGCTTGATTTGTTTATGGTGAGCCTTACGACCCTGTGACTGCATTTACTGTATTAACTATGTGTAACTGGCTCACCCTGACAGCCTAGTTTTCTTGGGGAGAAGGGGCACCCAAATCCAATATTGTAGAATTCATTCTTGGTATTGTGTACAAGAATGTTACATCAGGCCCTAACTGATCTAGCGTCATCATTCTACGATCCTGATTCCGACTGAATCAGGTAAGAAATGAAAGATTTCAACTTTGGAATGTTTAGGATGGCTGTGATCAGTCAAGCATGTAACCAAGAGCGCCCTCATTTCTGAACGATGTTCATTTCCTTGTCACAGCCACCAAAACTCCCACAAGCCGCAGGAGTGTTGCACAGAGGAAGCGGAAACGGTCTTCCAGCTATGATGATTCTGACAGCGACGCCAAATCCAAGAGGCAGAGCAGTCGACGAAGTGCCAAATCAAACATCAGGTATCGTCAACGTAAACCCTAAAACTCACCAGGCATTTTGACAAGTAACCTTCCTGAATCCTCCTGAATTCTCCCCTTAATGAATAGGGTACTTTCTTTGTTCTTAAACTGTTAAATGTCAACATGCCCTCTGTAAGGTTTTAGCAGCTGGTCTTAACCTTCCTAATTCTTGAACACTTTTCCATAACCACCAGGTGGATTTTGAAAGACCTGTTCCTCAGTTTACATTGAGGGTCAATTTAAAAAAAATCGTATTGCGGTTGGTTTTGCTCTGGTAATAATATGGGGGTTTACTAAGGACGAAACTGAAGTTTTGCCAACGGCTAGTGGGATATTAACTTCCTCGCCTTGCAGCTATAAAGAGGATGAAAGTAACGAAGAAACCGATTCGGATGAGATCATAGAAGCAACGGGTGGACAGGACGAAAACGATAACAGTGAGATCATTGAAAGGGTCCTTAAGCACCGCGTCGGACGAAAAGGAAGTAAGTTGATATTCCCAAAACATAAACCTGAGGAGAGAAATATGTGAAGCCTCTGGGATCACCAAAGCACAACAGCAAAATAAGAGGAGACTCAGTCACCCTGCATATTAATGTATTAAACTGCATCTGCATGAACTGGTTATGGCTAGCTGTTACATAGCCATCAATGGGAAGCGGTCGAAGCCGTTAGTCAGTGACACTCCATTGGTACTCTTGTTAAATCCAGCCACAACCGTAATTTCTGGACGCCACCTTCTGCCACATTTTGCTGGTAGCTAGTCTCAAGCTTTACACAGTTTGTGATGTTTTGCTTTTGCTCTTAAGGGAATGTGCTTGCATGAAGTAGCTTTTAATGAAATTGGCCTGATTTCAGATTGGTCATTATATTAATTTTGGATCCATTTTTGTGTGTGTCCCTTTCACATTTGAAACATGATTTTTAAAGTTCCGATCATATTCTTTAGTCTCAAAGGATGATTAAAAAATGCAAAGTTAATTCTGCCAAGGATATAGATAGTTTAAAGTCAATTTCAATGATATTTGCATGTCCAATTCGACATGTCGGGTGTAAAAGGCTAACCAAAAAGGCCCACTGTTTGACCCAGTTTGTAGAATGACCCAGTTTTGGATAGTGTATAAAGCCATTCATCTGTAAACTGAACATGTTTTGCAGTTACAAATGTGAAAACATTTTCAATCATTGTTTCAACCCTGGGAAACATAAAAACAAGTGATTTTACTTTTCTTTGGGCTAACTTGTTCTTGTTGCCAACAGAGACTGGTGGCATGACAACGACCTATGCCATCGAGGCAGACGGCGACCCCAACGAAGACGTTGACCCCAGCGAGGAAGGGGCAGAGACGCATTACCTCATCAAGTGGAAGAACTGGGCCCACATCCACAACACATGGGAGTCCGAGGGCAGCCTCAAGGAGCAGAAAGTTCGGGGGATGAAGAAGTTGGAGAACTATATCCAACGAGAGAAGGAGATACAGGAATGGTAAGTGGAACTGGGACGGCAGCCCAGAAGGAGCCAGGTTTGGATCTGTAGAACCCTATTAATATCCTGCACTGGGATATTCCCATCCTGAGGTTTAACATGTCAGCTACTTCTCAGGTGTGAAAATAGAGCTCCTTCTTACTGCCAGTCCAATGTGCCCAAGATGGCATTCACCATGCAAAAGTGCCTCTTTGGGAAAAAAAAAGTCTGCTTGAGGGTGCACCGCTAAAACTTGAGATTAAAGGGAAGATCAAATTCTGTGCTGCAGGCTTCAGAGAGCAGATGGTTTCAGGGCTATTGTGTGGAGGCCAATTTTTGAATATGGTGTAAGTTTTGGACATGAAATTGTTAACTAAATAAAGAGTGATTTGAGAGAGTGCTGGATGAAGTCAGTATTGATGTCTGGCCATCTGAATCTTTTCTCAGGAAGAAATTGGTGACTCCAGAAGACATTGAATACTTCGAGTGTCAGTACGAGATGACGCTGCAGCTATTTGAACAGTGTCAGCTTGTGGAGAGGGTCATAGGTTGGTAAACCTTTTATCTAAAACTAAAAATTTCAAATTCTGCCAGGGTTCGTGTAGAATTGGATTCCACTTTGTCAAATCACAGCTGAATGTCCGTATTAGACTTCACGTCTCAATTTTCAGTTTTATGGATTCAGTCCCTCAGGTGGAGACCCCAAGATGAATTCAGAGACACCAAATTGCTTTATTTGAAGCCAAAGTATTTTGAAGTGGGCGGAGTGATGAATATTGAATAGTGCTAGTTTTGTCTGATGTCCAGCTCATACAGTCTCGAGCCACGCCGGGCAGCCGGATTACCTGTGTAAATGGCAGGGTCTTCCCTATGCCGACTGCACCTGGGAAGATGGGGAACTCATCTCCAGGAACTTCCAGAACTGCATCGGCGAGTTCCAGCGGAGGAACAAGTCACAGAAGATTCCATCCAGGAGTGCCAAGGTAAAGTTGAGCTTGTTGGTGTTGCAAGATCCGTAAACCGATAGAGAGTTTCTTAATCGGTATCACAGAGGGTGTGTGAACACACTTGGGAGTACATATTCATAGGAGTAGGTGAAAGTTTAAACCGTGTGTGCACATCTCATTCATCGTTGGTGGATACAGGTTTCTGTATGCACAATTATCAGGTGAATCTATGTAGCCAGACTACGTGACCTGGCTGGCTGTACACAGCCTTTTGTCGCAGCAATTATTGCTCTTTGATGGGGCCTTAGATTTTTTGCAATGGACAAAGTTACAAAGACAAATATCACATAATTGCTGTTTAAATAACTCTCAGTGTTTGTAGTGTTTAATTTCATTTGAACTTCAGGTGATATACTTGGTCATTTTGATAAATCTTGTTGATTGCTAAAAATAATATAGTTGCTGGGACTGACTCATGAAATAAATCCTGAGCATGAAGTGGGAAAAATTCCCAGATCTCTTCATGCAAGTACCTTGCAATGTGTACTTTGCTGTCCTGAACTGAGATGGTTCATGAAAAGATGGAATTTGCTACCATTGCTTCAGGTTTTGCGACAGCGACCCAGGTTTGTAGCTCTAAAGAAGCAGCCATCCTACGTTGGAACGGAAGAACTGGAGCTCCGAGACTACCAGCTGGATGGTTTAAACTGGCTGGCCCACTCCTGGTGCAAGTAAGTCCCCCCGTAGTGTCAAAAGCATCTTAGAGAGGGGTACTTTAGCTGATTAGGGATAGCATATTTTGCAAGCTGGAATGGAAAGTTCTGTGAAAAGCCCTGAGAAATGTTTTCTACTCAAATAAGAACACCTGGTGTGCGCCGCGTGTACAGCCAGTCAACCAGTCTGGTGTTGTCTTAATGTCCCTTAGTGTACAGATAGTTAACTGAAAACAAACAAACTCCAAACAAAATGCACTGGAAATGGTCCAGAAACTTCACTCTGCTTGGTTAGTTAAATACAAAAAAAAAACAATTCATTTCTACTGAAAGAATTGGTGTTTCTTTTTGCTGATTACTCAATCTTAAAAATAAAGTCCTAAAATTCTGCCCTAATCACAACTTTTTGTGAAATTGGTTCTCCATGTTGACTGTTTTCTTGTTAGGAAGAACAGCGTCATCCTAGCGGATGAGATGGGTTTAGGCAAGACCATCCAGGTCATCACGTTTCTCTCCTACCTGTACAATGCCCACCAGCTGTATGGTCCCTTTCTCATTGTGGTCCCACTTTCCACTATGACCTCATGGCAGAGGGAGTTTGCAGCCTGGGACCCAGACATGAACGTGGTGGTGTATATCGGGGATCTGAACAGCAGGAACATGGTGAATAGTAATGTTGATGTAACGTGCTTGGCACGGTGTCAGAAGTGGAACATGTGCAGACTTGGAGCAGGAGCTGCATTCTTGTATTGGTTAAATCTGCCAGCAAGCTTCAGTGAATGACACACTTCACTGGTTTGCCTACTCAGTGACAGGTGTTGCATGCAGCCACTTTTCATTAGAATGTTTACAACCTGGAGCAAGAAAAAAACCAAGCAAAATTGGGCTCTCAGCTTAAGCGGCACTCCTGCGTACTTTACCAACAGAAGAGTTTTTTTTAACCCCTGAGGCATAAACTCCACTGGCATGCAGTTTAGTCCATTGATGCAGCAAATCTTTAGTAAAAATTCTCTTGACAATTCTAAACGCCGCTGAAACTATGAACTGGCAGTAAATTACACAGATAATCAACAGATAACATGGGCAGATTATTTTCAAAATGAAAATTGAACTTAGAGAATGGCCCAATAAGTGCAATTTGTTTGATCTTTTTATTTTTGGTAGATCCGTGAGCATGAATGGTGCCATAACAATAACAGGAATCGTTTAAAGTTCAACACCATCCTTACAACATATGAAATTCTTCTCAAAGACAAGGTGAGCCCTTTGCAATTGTTGGTTTATCAGAGCGTTTAGGCCTTCAGAGACACTTGTTTGGAGTTGGTGAACATATGCTTCTTTGGTTTATATGCTGAGCCATTCACAAGAAAGTTACATCACTCAACATATCTGGTGACTCGTTTTTGCTGAGCAAAATTTAATCTTTGCTTAATAAAGTTTTCTGCCTGTCTCCTCCCAGTCTTTCCTTGGTAGCGTTCCCTGGGCCGTACTGGTTGTTGACGAAGCTCACCGGCTCAAGAACGATGACTCCCTCCTGTACAAGACACTCAAGAACTTTGACACCAACCACCGATTACTGATCACAGGAACTCCCCTTCAGAACTCCCTCAAAGAGCTGTGGTCCCTCCTTCATTTCATTATGCCTGAAACGTACGTAGTCACACCTTGAAGTAGTAGAAATGTGCTCAAACATTTGCTTATTTACAGTACGACTCTTTATCCTGAAGTCACAAAGTTAAGTTAACATCTCCTTTGGCATCTACTATGAACCAGACTTTGAGTAGCCCTCAATTAAATCTAAAGAACCCTTTGCCGCAAGACTCCAAGCTCCAACCATTCATTTCTCCTCACCAATCTATGCAGATTTCCCCACTGGGAGAGATTTGAGGCAGAGTTCTCCTGCGCAGACAAGAACGGCTATGCCAACCTCCACCGAGAGCTGGAGCCATTCCTCCTGCGACGAGTCAAGAAGGACGTGGAGAAGTCCCTGCCGGCTAAGGTGGAGCAGATCCTGAGGGTGGAAATGAGCACCCTGCAGAAACAGTACTACAAGTAAGTCAGCTGTTCCGCTATCTGCTGTTTACTGACAGTTGGTAGCATCATTCCTGTCTATGCTAGTAGATTAGAAGTCTAATGACGTTGACATTGTTTATTGTGTTCACTTCTGGTGCCAGGGCCCAGTGTCATGGCCCAGTGTCATGGCCCAGTGTCATGGCCCTGCTTACCGTGAACAATGAGTCCATACTTGCTGTGGAAAACTCTTCACTTGTGGTGAACCAGACTGCAAGGAATTATGATGTACATGCAGGTGTGCGTGTCATACCTGAGAATTGGGTCCCTGTATAGTTAGTGTTGTACCTTGTTGCCAGTGCCGTAAGCACAGAAATGCAGATTTTAAAAGAGGAAATCCACAGCTAGCCAAGCTGCGAAATTGGGCCATGGTTGAGCAAGTTTTTCCTTCTACAAGTGTACCTAGCATCATCATAGAAACCTTCCTGAATCCTCCCAAATCCTCCACGGTGGTTGAATCCAATGTCACACTCTTTGTACTTAACTTTCAAGGTGCATTAAGTCCTGGACCCTACCTCTCTCAGTCCTGTAGTAATCCGTCAAAACCACCTGGTGGCTATCAAAACTTCTGGGAGGTTCAGGAGGTCTTGATTGTCATGCTTGATATCAAATGAGAAGAATAAAATCTCTGATGTGGATGCTGCGTTTGCCTGTCCAACAGGTGGATTCTGACGAGGAACTTCCGAGCCCTGACTAAGGGTGTGAAGGGGAGCACCAGCAGTTTCATCAATATTGTCATGGAGCTCAAGAAATGCTGTAACCATCCGCATCTTGTGCGCAGACCAGAGGATGGGGACGAAGTCGAGGAAGAGCAGGTGAGCTGAAGATGCACAAGAACATGGTATTTGGTAGATGCTGCACTTAATCCGAGACAAACCATGCAATCTCGTATCAAAGTAGAGAACTTGTTTATCTGACTGAATCCAACAGCTAGAGCAACATTTCTGATGTCCACACTGATTAATTTGACTACACAAATTCTGCTAAATCATATGGAGCTGTTCAGTAGGTGGGAAGTAGTTAAACCCTAAACCACAGCAAGCCAGATTCGTGTCGTATATAAGGAATGTTTAATTTTCACCAGCTCTCAAAAGCAATTAATATGCAGGGATAAAGATTGTTTACATCAGAGAAATTTCTTGTACATTTAATTCTGCCCCAATTCATGACCTTTATCTTAGTTTGTCCCTCTCTGATAATTGTCGTCTTGCAGTATAACCAAGTGGTTAAGATGAGTGGGAAGGTGGTTCTTTTGGACAAGCTTCTGGTCAGACTCCATGAGAGAGGCCATCGTGTCCTCATCTTCTCTCAGATGGTCCGTATGCTGGACATCTTGGCAGACTATCTGCGCTACAAACACTTCCCCTTCCAGGTAAAGTCATCAAAACCTGACAGCAAATTGGTTGTCTCGGAATGCTCAAATCAGTGCGAGAGACTGGAATGGTTGAGGGTTCTTTGTTTGTCTTGTTCATGTTCTTTTTGAATGATAATTCTGCTCTTGTTTGACAGAGACTGGACGGTTCTATTCAAGGGGAGCTACGGAAACAGGCCTTGGACCACTTCAACGCTGAAGGATCCCAGGTAAGACTGATGGAAAACGGGACTGTTTGGTGATTCAGTCATTGACTGGAAGCCTTCGGTAATTGGCTAGAAACCTCCTGAGGTCTCCTGGTACCTTGTCCAGCGATAGTTGGGTCCATCACAAGTCCTTACAAGTCTGTCACCAGACCATCAGAAGTCATTCCTCTTTGAACTAAATCACAAGTTATTGAATGAACTATGGTGAAAGCATTCCTTTATCATTGTTCACCAGCTAGTTGTGACTGGCCGTGTGAAAGAACCCTTGATGGATTTGACTACATCCAGTAGTCAAGAGCATTGAGACCCATGTTTAATGATGGTGCAGAGTTTCTCTTGTTAGAATTCTGTCACAAGAAGCCATGTTTAGGTCAGGACAGAAGACTGAGAGCATACACAAAAACAAAACACAACAAAACTGGCAACCTCTTAAAACCCCTTTTCTGTTTTTGCTTTGCAGGACTTCTGCTTTCTGTTGTCCACAAGGGCCGGTGGCCTGGGCTTGAATCTGGCCACGGCAGACACGGTCATCATCTTTGACTCTGACTGGAACCCACAGAATGACATCCAGGCTATGGCCAGAGCACACCGGATTGGGCAAAGGAACCAGGTTAGTCAAACGGACAAGGATCACTTTGCATGACTGAATTTCGTCATCAATTCTCGTCACGAGAGCTATGGCATTTGACCTAGTCACAGTAGCTGCCGAAGGTCATCTCTGAGAATAATCTTTTAGATCAATATTATTAACTTTTTGCCAATGTCCTGAATGTGTCCGCTTGCTTGAGTTTTTCAACTTGATGGCATTGTTAGGTGAATATATATCGCTTGGTGACCAAGAGCAGTGTGGAGGAAGACATTGTCGAGAGAGCCAAAAGGAAGATGGTCTTGGATCACCTGGTCATTCAGAGAATGGACACAACAGGACGCACCGTGCTGTCCAAATCCTCCACCTCAGCTAGGTAAGATGCAGTACAGTGCAAGATGGTCATTGATTACCTTGTGTACTATACTAACTGGAATGCCTGGCCTGTGATTACTCTTGTGTGCCCACAGCTGACGTACATGTATTCTGCCTTTACACCAACTAAAGAGAGGATCCTTTGTTACCACCTGTTGGCATGTGCGTAGGCCATAACGTTAGCCTGTAGAATACTCCGAGCTTCAGGGCGTAGTGGTCTAGTTTTATCCAATGTTTTGGCCTTGTGATCTTTCAGCCACACACCATTCAATAAGGAAGAGCTGGCGGCTATCCTCAAGTTTGGAGTGGAAGATCTCTTCAAGGAAGCCGATGGAGAAGAATCAGAACAACAGGTAGGTCATGGTCTTCCTGTCCCCCCTGGCTTCCCCCTCCAGCCCCACCCCCAGGATCGGCTTTAAAGTCATAATCCATCACAGTTTGTATTTTAGAGAAGGTATCCTTACAGATGTGAATGGGATGAAGTCAAATATGGGCATAGCCCCTTCAATCTCATGGCGGACTTCTGTCTGTCTTTACTTGATTGGTTTACCCTCTGCAAAGAATATTGTCCTCAGTCTTCTGGGAAATGGATATGGAAGACGTTAAGATGCATTTGAGACAGGACTTGGATCGTAACATCATTATCTTAGCTCAGGAGTGACTATTTCCTGTTTCTCTCCTTTTCAGGAGATGGACATTGATGCTATCTTAGAGAGAGCCGAGACCAGAGAAGCCGATGATAATGGCGGGGCAGGAGAGGAGCTTCTCTCTCAGTTCAAGGTCAGGACATTTGGAAAGTTCATTACTCTCTTAGCAGTGTACTTCTGACTTCAGCTTTTGAAAATCAGTTCAGTGTAATTGTAATCAAGGTGTGTTGTGGAAGGCTGTAAGATGGCCGTTTAGCCAAATTGTGAGAATTTTAGGTGATGCTCCCACTACCACCATTGTGGAAGATGCTTTTCCCTACAACTATGGAATGCAATACATGTCACTAGAATTGCCAGCGAAACATGTGAAAGGTTTTCTCTTTCAACTTGCTTGTCGGTAGTGTGCAATTTTTCTTTGGCCCTAGAGAAAACTGTGCATCTCCTAATCTGCAGGTTGCTAACTTCTCCACCATGGTGGATGATGAGGAGATGGAGACAGTCACCGAGGATACGGGCAAAGACTGGGAGGACCTCATCCCAGAAGCTGACCGTCTCAAGGTGGAGGAAGACGAGAAACAGAAGGAGCAACTGCAACTCTATCTGCCTCCTCGGGTCCGCAAACAGGTCAACAGGGTGAGTTCTAAATAGAGTCACAGCTGTAATCCTGATCAGATTTCAGTTAACGCTGCATTCATTGCTTCATCTTGTTCTCTCCACTGTACATTAGAACCCACCAGGAGTTTTGGAGGATAGCACCAGATCAAGCAAGGCAGATCTCAGCTACATTTTCTTTAAATTGGGCTTGAGACCCTGCTCAGTAGGATTTTGGAGTGTTCAGGATGATTATTTTTGTGGAATGGCTGGAGGAGTTGAAGTTAGGATGACCATCACTGTGGACAGACATAGATGATGCTTCATGCCATTTCACTTGCATTCTGTGTTTCTGTTATTGCCGTCAAGATGACGTACCAGGGCAGTGACTCTGAGGCGTCAGTGACGCGCAAGCCACGCACCAAGCGCCCTCACACTTCCAGCTCCAGCAGTGAGACGGACGAGAGCGACACCGAAAAGAAAATCAAGAAGCCCCGTGGCCGACCACGCACCACACGCAGGGACGGCGTGCACGGATTCACTGATGCCGAAATCAGAAGGTACAGGAAAGAATCATGTCACAGTTCTGCCTAACCCTAAGGTTTGGCCTAACACTCTGTGTGTAGTGTTCTCTCTAACCTTAAGGTTTGGCCGAACCCTCTGTGTTTAGTGTGAATTACAAATATCTTGTCTATTACAAGTTAAAATATCACTTGTACGTAAGATTTGATCCTGTTTCTTGTTTGTAGATTTATCAAGAGTTACAAGAAATTTGGTGAACCACTGACAAGGTATGCATGGCGACTTCTTTAAAACATCCATTTAATTAAACATTTTCTTAAAACTTTTATTTTCCTCAACATACACTGCATTATGTAATGTTGAAGAACTTGAAGATTCTGCTAGTTTGCTTCCTTATTTACATTGTGTTTTCTCTCTTAGCTATGAGTTTATATCCAAAAATGTCAACTTTTTCAAGGTGACATGTTTATTCATATCTCATGTTTAATTATAACCTCTCATGCATAATTCATGCAGACTGGAGGCCATAGCTGGCGATGCCGAGTTGCAAGAGAAATCTCAAGCCGATCTGTTGAAGCTGGGCACCATGCTCCATGATGGCTGTAAAAGGGCCATCGAGGAGTATGAGGAACGCCTACGAGAAGAGGCAGACTTTGATGGTAGGTTCATTTATCACATCTGTGCACATTGATTGAGGGCGCTATTTAGCACACATTTGGTATGTCTTCGAAAAAGTTCTTCAACCCATCCGTGTAATGTCGATAGAGGATGCTATTTGGTGACCGATAGTAGGACGTTGTAAACATTCTTCATCAAGTATATGCATTGTCAATAGAGGGAGCTCTTTGACGGCCTTTGATAATGATGTGCCATCCCATCTGAGCTTTATCAATAGAGAGCACTGTTTTGCAGACTGATGGTATGTCACTAAAAGTATTTACCCTTCCCCATGTGCATTTTTATTTGAGGGTGCTGTTTGGCAGGTTTTATTTTAATTTGCATGATGAATATCAACCAGGTAAGAAGCGAGGAGCAACTCTGAAGATATCTGGAGTCACCATCAACGCTCCATCACTCCTGAAGCACGAGGAAGAGTTTAAAGCATTGGTGCAGACCATTCCAGCTGACCCAGCCCAGAGGAAGAAGTATGTTCCTAGCTTGCACATTTTAGGCAAAGCTCTCATGTGTGTACAGGAGATTTGTTTAGCAAGAAAAGATGCCACCACCAACTGATTTTTGCTTGGTGATTTAATTAGCTAAGCAAAATTTTTCGTCATTACCATGTCTTGGTCTAGAGTTGTTCTTATTTGATTTTTGTCTTCAAACTTGTCGAGATCAGTTGGCTGGTTTGAAAGTCAAAAACCAGCAATTCCTTGAAGAGGCATTTTTGATAGCAGGCCCACGACTTGTTATTTCAGGTACCAGCTGGAGTGTCGGGCCAAGGTGGCTCACTGGGACGTGGAGTGGGGTGTGGATGATGATTCCAACCTCCTGAAGGGAATCTATGAGTATGGCATGGGAAGCTGGGAAGCCATCAAGATGGACCCAGAACTCAACCTGCATGACAAGGTAGGCAGACAAATGGGATGGAGAAACACTCAAAATGATTCTTCCAAAGAATAAGCAGGATTGTTTTCAGGTCTTTGGTCAGTTCTTACCTTCTGTGCTGTCTTGTCTGTCTCTTCATTTTGTCCCCCCGTTTGTGGTAGATTTTATTACCAGACCCTCAGAAGAAGCCCCAGAGCAAGCAACTTCAGACGAGATGTGAGTACCTCATCAAGCTCCTTAAGAAACAACGAGACAAGGAGGAACTTATAGCTGAGGTAATGCCATCCATGCCAGACTTTGTTTCTCAAACACCAGGAAAGATTTGCATTCTTGTAGGAAACTTTTTATCAAGTAGTCAGGATGTTACGTCTAGCGTGACATCAGGTTTTCTACATAATCTCTAAAAAACAACAAACAAAATGGCAGCATGATTCCACATGCTGGTCTAGAAATGTGTCTCAGACTTTATAGAAAGTGTGCAACGTGCGCTAGCCGGTTCCATTTTGTGTGAATGTAGCCTTTTCCCTATTTTCACGAGGAAATGATGTTTAAACGTCTGCTACTTTCACTCAATTTTGGTCTGTCTTTCCCAAACTGGGTTGGTTTTTTATTCTACTCGTGAGAAAAACTTTAACATCTGTTTGGCTGGTAATATTGACCTTTTGTTTCCCATTTTTATCTTCATTGTTCAAAACAAGCAAGCATAAGTTTGAAGTACTACAGAAGAGCTTGATGGCTGTGGATGTATTTTACACACTGAAATGAATTTAATTTAGACTTCAAGTCTCATTTATCAAATTGTGAGTTTTTCCCTGTTCCCTCAGCAACCAAAGAAAATGCGGAAATCCAAAGAAACACCAGCGGCAACAGCAGTAGCCGCAACAGCAACGACAGCCGCTGCCGCTGTGGCCCCGGCCCCCGTCAAACGGGAGCCCAAGGCCAAGGCCAACAACCGCAAGAAGGCCGCCCACAACGAAGACACTGCCTCGGAGAAGACCGTCAAAACCAAAGGGAGGAAAGGCGGCCGCAAGAAGGCCGAGGATAACGGCAAAGAAGAGAAGGAGAACAAGGAGCAAGGAGACGGCAAAAAGAGGAAGAAGGTCAAGACAGAGGAGCCGGAAGAGGAAGGCGAGATTGTGGACGATGAGCCTGAGACCAAGAAAGAGAAGAAAGTGAGTATGTACACTCAGTGCAAGACTAAACCAGTTTGGCTTCCAACTCTGCATGTTCTGAATAAGATATAGCGATCTACTATCCTAAGATTTCTGCAGCAGTTAAATAAGTACAAGTGGGTGGGGCATGTGGTGACCAGATTTACATTCGGCCATTTTTTTCCTCTTTGTTTTGATGGCTTTCCAATTTTGTATCTGCACTGGGGAAAGCCACATTTGTTTTTCTGTCATTCTGTTTAATGTTGCCATGATATCATCGTGGTTATTACACAGGTAGTTACTCTCCAGATTGTAAATGTCCCTTCATATTTCCTCTGGTTGTGTACCGCATTATGAAGCATGTTGTTTGGCCTCGCTGATGTAGTGTTTACACCAAAAGCATTTTTGCCAGAGACCCCCCAAAAATCTACAATAATCAATCCATTTGCACACTCTCAGAACGAAAAACTTTCCAGAAACATCAAGCCCCACACAATACTTGCTGGGCTCTACCGTCCAACTTTATGAATGCTTCTAAACCTCCTGACGTGTTTAGGGACTGGAAAGGGCTACTGTTTAGTGTATCAGATTGACCATTTGATCACGAATTGCCTTGGTATTGGCGCCTTGTTCCTGTGTCCCTCAGGGCAAGGATAAGACTGACACCAAAGGAGCCAAGAAGGGGCATAAAGAACTGCCCCCTATGCACATCACCGCCCAGCGCAATCCTGTCTTCATTGATCCAACCGGTGAACTAGACGAAGCCACATTCAGTGCCGTAAGTACAACTTGTTGTTGCCCTGGAATTGAGTTTGCCAGTCAAGTAGCGTCTAGTGATGTCAGTGTCTAGAAAGCTTAGTCCAAGTGATTACAGTTCTGTCTCTACTGATCCGCACGAAATGCTTGAACTTGGCGAACAGTGAACAGTGTGTTTGCAGCAAGACCGCTTAAGACCATCACGGGTCCCCACAAGGACATCACAAGACCATCACCAGACCTCCAGTCTGAATTTGATTCACAGGCTATTCAAATGAATTGCTACAAAACCATTCCTTGGTTGTTCACGTAGTTATTTGTGACTGTCCTGTGAATGGTTGTGTCTGGTCTTCTGATAATCTTGACAACAACACAGACAGATGGCTTTGGGTGTTTTGTTCTTGTGTAGTGTAAGGAAAAGATGAGACCCGTCAAGAAAGCCCTGAAGCTCCTGGACAACCCACCAGAGGAGGTGTCTGAGAAGGAACAGGTCAACCACACCAGACAGTGCCTGCTGAAGATCGGCGACCACATTGCCGACTGCATCCTGGACCTGAAAGATGCCGATAAGATCCACGAGTGGAAGGGGTGAGTGAACCAGAAGGGATCATGCAGAGTTGAATTTGGAGTTGGCCTCATTCAGCCAGGGAATTTCAACTCATTCTGTCTGAGTTTATAAAGTTCTGTCAGTCAGTTCTACATGCTTTGTCTTCCATATTCAGAGAATGTCAGCGGCACTGCCAGTTCAGCAAAGAATTCAAATGGAGTGAATCGGATGATACATGCCATGATAGTAGGCCAGCACTCATGATGAACATAGGATTGCTGTTATCTATTGTTTCTGGTATTGAGGGCAGTCAACAGGGAATTGTTTTCAAAGTAAAAAAAAAATTGAAGCTTTTTGGCGGGTGCAGTAGAAAAAGAGTTGAATCAGAGCAGAAGTTAACAGTTAACAGGGTGTCCTATCCTGCCTCTGATCTGTCATTCAGTGCCACTTTCCAATCCAGTTGAAGTATGGAGCCAATATCTTTGATCACTTGTTGATTATAGGAATGCTTCCTTGTTTCGTCATCCTTCCAGGTACCTTTGGACTTTTGTGGCCAAGTTCACAGAGTACGATGCTAAGAAGCTGTACAAGCTCTACAGACATGCCCAGAGGAAGAGGGACGACGAACGAGAAGAGGTATAAATCAGCCCTCCTCTCCCCCAAGTCTCATGTTGCCATCAGGGCTTGACTTGGTTCTATCATTCCGTGCTCAATCCTTAGCAAGTTTACAGTGCAGTAAAAGTCAGCTCACGCGGCAACTCTATGAACATGTGTGATGTATGCGAGCGTAGTTCCACCTCAGTGGCATCCACTGATCAGGGTAGCATGATGAGTCTTATGACGCCTGATTACTTGAGGATTCTAGAACCAACCTGGGAGCTTTGCCAAAGGAAGTTTGTTTAGTATGCCCAAGTACTGGAACCTCAGGGTTTTATGAAACTGCTGTCGGTGCAGTTGACCCTTCTTGTGAAGGATCCAGTTTGTTTAAAAACCATTGTCAACTGTAGATTATTGGGTTGTTAATTTATGGAAATCTATGTGCCCTGAGTTGAACCAAGAGAGGGCGCAATTTTCCTAGCAACGGATGCTTCTTTAGTAGTAACTGCGCTTCACCAGTTCACGAATGACTATGAAACACAAACGTTGCAGTCACATTGCTGCCAACAAAATGAGCACTCCTGACCAACGTGGCTCTTTTCAACTGATGAAGGGGTGCTTCTGCTCAGGGCGGATTGATGACATATGCCCCAGAATTTAAAAACTACATCCACAGATTTTTTTTAGATACTTTGAATTAGAAGATTACATCCACTGTTGTGACATGTACTAGTTGTACAAATCCTTCATGTTGACATCCATAGATGAAACATGTCCCTGGAGGGAATCAACAAGGTCACAAGCAGCGGCCCCCAGAGTGGACGGGGGGTTCCAAACCAAGAGAAGCCTACTACCCGGGAGGTGGGCAAGCCCAGGGCTACAGCCACCCACAGGGAGTCAAGAGACCCCACTCGGGTGGGGAGGGGGCATCAGACAGACCCAGGGGGGACCGAGACAGGTGAGTGGCAGAGTTTTTTTTATTCCTTGCTTGTTGAGTATTGCCTGGTGGACCAGTAGTCAGTTGACTTGTGGATTAGTTGTTGAGTTGGCTATGCATTGTGGAAGTCACCCTGTATTAGATGACTGTGCATTTGGCTCATGTGCAACACACTAGGGAAACAGTGTTTCATGTTATGTAGGTCACCTTTTTGTTTTTGACAAAGGATAATCCCATTCCTCAAACAATTTCCAACTTCAATTCATTCCTGCATCCACTGAGCACATCTCTCATATTGTTTGCCTCTGAGATGTGACCCATGGCCAATAAAAGATCGGAACAAAGTCCAGGTTTGGCCACTATCTGCAAACCCATTCCACTTTCACATCGTCAAATATCAAACATTCATATCCAATGAGGAGGTCAGACCACAGCAACTTGAATCTTCAGAGAGAGAGAGAGAGAATACCCAAGTCACACTTGTGTAACCTGACAGTGTCCTTTGTTCTATTATCCACCCTATCCCCTCCCTCCACCACTTCACCCTCCGCCCCTCAGTGGTCATCCTCCCCCTACCAACCCTCGCATGCACCAACGGCCCCCGGGCTTGGCAGATCGCTTTGAACACCGTCAGGGGCCGGATAACCGTGGGCCATCCAGGGGTCCCTTTAGGGACAGGTAAGGCCCACATCTCTCTCTCTAGCATGTTACCACTTCCTCAGGGGTGATTGGTTGATTAGTTGGTTGATGGGCTGACTAGATAGGCGAATCGGTTGATCAATTAGTGGGTTGATTGTGGTGATTGAGTTAACCACCTGAGAGTTCATTAGTTGATCGGCTGATCAGCTGATTGGTTGGTAAGTTAATCAGTTGAGTAGTTGGTTAATTGACTAGTTGATTGATGGACCATTTACTGGGTTGATCAGTTGATCAATAGAACATTTGATTGTTTGACTAGTTCATTAATTGCTCAATATATCAGTTGATGTTATGATTAGGTTGATGTGTTGATGTTATGTGCTGAATGCCGTTTTTCTATTTTGACTTCTGGAGCATGTATCGGTTTTATTTTTCTGTGTAGTTCGTGCCTGTGATCAACTAATGTTGAGTGCACTTTTGATTAATTTGTTGTGTAGACATTGATACAGGAAGAGATTTAAGGGTAACATTGGGTATCATTTAATTGTAGATGGTCATTTCAAACAATCTTAAAGTCACAATAGTTTTCCAAGCATGATTTGTTTTGCATGGATTGAAATGAATAACTTTGAATGTTTTTATGTTCCCAAGACTTTAGCATTCAAATAAACCTGTGTTTGGGCTTGATTGTCCGAATTGTTTATCTTAGACCCAATCCACTAACAGTTATCTTCATCTCATTCTTTGGATTGATTTTTCTGATGTGTGTCTAACTACAAGTGAGCAGATTCATGATGGAACATTTAGCCCAAGTTGGCAGTTGTTCTCTGCCCCGGAAGCATCTTTCATTTTAATCTGAAACTTTTATGCAGGTTATCCTGCTGTGGTCTGTCACAATTCATTGATGGTCCTCCTGCTGTGGTCTGTCACAGTTCATTGACAGTCCTCCTGCTGTAG